ACCATTTTTAAAAGTCAAAAGCCAGTAAGTGCACTTTTGGTATTATGGAAATTGTTAAAATAAACAAGTTCCTCATACTTACCTATGACTTTGTTGTAGCAACCCCAAATATCCATTGAAACTTTGGAACTGATATAGCCAAGGCCCATCGGTTTCATTTGTATCCGTTAAAGAGACAATGGAAAAAATTCTACTATACTAACTATTTTGTATTTCTTGTGCAATTTTTGAGAGGAAGTTTTTACTGTTCTTTGTAAGCATATTTTTTAAATAAAAGAATACTCTCTGGATGACATTATATGTATTGTTACTATCACGTAAACACATGGTAAGTGGAGATAGAGGGAACCATCAGAGGCTCCTCAATCTCAGTGCAGAGCCCAGAGTGAATGCATAAATCTTTTGCGTAAACAGTCCAAAAATAAGGCCTATTTTTTGCACAAAAAATTCTACATTCACTGACTTCGCTCTGAGCTCTTCATTCAGGAATCAGGACATTGAGGGTCTTGAGTCGTCCCCTCTTTCTCTGCTTACTGTGTGTTTATGTCAAAGTAACCAAAAAAAAAGACTTGTTTTCGTGGAACATCTTTTCTTTGGTTGCTAGATGAATGTAGGCTGTGTTCGATACCATGGGTTGGGAACCCAAATCCTGTGCACGGAAAACGGAGCGGTCTATTAGCACGTGATTAATTAAGTATTAGCAATTTTTTTTCAAAAATGGATCGATATGATTTTTTTAAGCAACTTTCGTATAGAAACTTTTTGCAAAAAACACACCATTTAGCAGTTTGAAAAGCGTGCGCGCGAAATACGAGGGAAAGGGGTTGGGAACCTCCTCATCCGAACGCAGCCATAGAAACTACAGAGCCAAATGAGGGCATTTTGCAGTTCATAGTCTCCTGCTATACTACATCTTTTGACTAACTGGTAATATTTCTGCAGCACTTCAAAGGTCTGAGTTTTCCTACGATTTCATCCGTGGGACCAAATGCAGCAGTGATTCATTATAAACCAGAAGCAAGTTCATGTGCTGAACTTGATGCTGATAAAATATATCTGTGTGACTCTGGGGCTCAGGTTGAGTACATTTCAGTCAAACTCAAATTTTGTGGTAAAAGACTTGCTTGAGTCTAATTCTTTCTATGGTGGTATGTTTGCAGTATCTTGATGGTACTACAGACATTACAAGAACTGTACATTTTGGCAAACCCTCTGAGCATGAGAAGTCCTGCTACACAGCTGTAAGTTTATTTTTTCGTCACTTGCTAAAATTTTCTTTTATTTAGAACAAATGACATGTCAAATACTAAGTTCTATTTAGAACGAATGATATCCTAATAGTGTAATTGTTGGTCAAAGTAATATGCCTTATATTTTGAAATGGAGGGAGTATATGAGTGTCCAATAATCAGTTGACTTGAGCTGGAGCCTTACCAGTGTAACCGCTTCATGTGTTTTACTAAATACGGTAGACCAGCATGCAGGACATAGCTGCATAACTGCTAGCTATCTTTATTTATTTGACAACTGTAGTATTATTTTCCATGAATTTAAGAGCTTAGTGGCTGACATGCAACATGTTGAAAGTTTGTTTTCTGACACGTTGCAATGTTATTGGTTTCCTCATTTCCTGTATTGCATTACTTGCCCCTACTTAATGGAGCTGAAAATTCCATTGTTGAATATTATGTCAACAGTGGCTGGTCAAGTTTTCTTTACACACTTGTTACTTTATTTCTCTTGTAGAAATAAACATCATATTAAATGCTTGAATCTAATAGTTTACAAGATATTGTCTGTGAGGTTTTAATTTTCTTTGCTACTATTTAATCTATTTCTAATGCAAGTGATATCGAACATTGGAAATAGGTTTTGAAAGGCCACATTGCACTGGACACTGCTGTATTTCCCAATGGAACCACAGGTGAGTGAGTGTTTTGAGCTTTTATACTTCCATCTATATGAACTCAGGAGATTTAACATTGATCATGTGTCCCAATGATAAAATAGCTGCCAGATGTACCATGGAGTTTTAACATCACCTAATAGTGTAGTATGTGATAACATTATTGTTCTTTATGAGTGCATTTACTTATAAACATGCGACATCATGTTTTCTCAAAGCCTCGTTGCCTCAGAGATCATGTCCATCGTTTCTTTAACATTTAGAAACTGTAAGAAGATTCCACTAATCACAAATGTTATTTAGTGATAGACTCCATTGTTTCTTTAACATTTGGAAACTGTAAGAAGATTCCAGTAATCACTAATGTTATTTAGTGATAGACTATCTCACTAAATTTGAAAAAAAAAAAGATGACAGAAACTAGCAAGTGATGAAGAAAATGATTTATACTACCATGTTTTGACACCAATTTATGTTCATTGTGTTATACTTACTTTTTCAAGTTATATTTCAACAAAATCCATGATATTTGTGCGTTACTTAAACCTTAACAGGGCATGCTATTGATATTCTCGCACGAACACCACTTTGGAGAAGTGGTCTTGATTACCGGCACGGTACAGGCCATGGTATTGGATCTTATTTGAATGTTCATGAAGGTCAGATACTCAATTGCTGGTTCATCCTCTTCTATGACAGTAAATTATCTGATTGTAGTGCTACCTTGAAATGTTTAATCCATTCTGTTTGTGCTTACAACCCAGGTCCTCATCTAATTAGCTTCAGACCTTCTGCTAGAAATGTACCACTACAAGCATCGATGACTGTAACAGATGGTCAGTAAATATCCTAAATTAACCACTATTTATTTTAATAGGACTATCAACAGTTTAATGTGAAACTACTTTGTAATTCTTACTTCGATGATAGTCCCTCTTGCTGCAATGATCGATGTAAAGTTCAACTTGCACAATCTTTTCTTGCAGAACCTGGTTACTATGAAGACGGAAGCTTTGGTATAAGGTTGGAGAATGTTCTGATAGTTAAAGAAGCCAATACTAAATTTAATTTTGGAGATAAGGGTTATTTGGCTTTTGAACATATAACATGGGTAAGTTTCTTCAATCTCCATTTTATTAAATTATTAACTTTCTCTTTGGTAATCTCCAAGTCTCCGTATCAATTTCACAAGATATCCCGGTTGATAATACATTGTATTCTTGTTTTGTTGCTCTGTTTATACCTGTATGACCATTTTAAAGTCAGCCTTTGTTGCCAGTTCGACTGGCATTTCATGATCTCTAAATACAAAATGCTGCTCACCATGTATCTGCGTCATTTGTTTTGCTCATGTTCATGTATTGATGAATTTCTTGTGCTATGCAGACTCCGTACCAGACAAAACTGATAGACACCACCTTACTTACCCCTGCTGAGATTGAATGGGTAAATGCGTATCACTCGGATTGCAGAAAAATTTTGCAACCTTACCTGAATGAGCAGGAGAAGGAATGGCTGAGGAAAGCTACTGAACCTATCGCTGCGAGCTGTTAAGCCATCAATCAACTAGCTGGTTGACGCTACATGGACACATGACACAGGGTCCCAACCGGTTGCAACTATTCGTGCTAGATGTGCAGATGATTTCTGGCATGCCATGCGCGTAGATAAATAAATGGCTATCCCTCAATTTAATTACTTGCAATAAGTGTGAATATATAGCAGAAAACATCACAATCGATTCTTTTGCGTTGTCATTCTGCTAATGTTGAATGTGAGGATGGAAGTAGAGATAATAAGGCCGAGTTTAGTTCCAAACTTTTTCTTCAAACTTCTAACTTTTTCATCACATCAAAACTTTTTTACACACACAAACTTCCAACTTTTCCGTCACATCGTTCCAATTTCAACCAAACTTCTAATTTTGGCGTGAACTAAACACACCCTAAGGCCTTGTTTAGTTCTAAACTTTTTCTTCAAACTTTCAACTTTTTCATCACATCAAAACTTTTCTACACACATAAACTTCCAACTTTTCCATCACATCGTTCCAATTTCAATCAACCTTCCAATTTTGACGTGAACTAAACACATCCAATCAAACTTCCAATTTTGACTGAATTTGCAGGTTGCATTTGTACAGTTATTCAGATGCTTGCTTGAATGCCCTGAGCAGTTTGGTTGGACTAATTAACAGTAATCGCATCATTTCAAAGCTTAAAATTGAACACGGTCTGTTTGGAAAATTCCTATCCCAGGGGCGGCATCACACTGAAGTTTAATAAAGAGTAAATATCACATTGGAATTTGACCAACATTTTCACTTGACACCACATATCTTTACAGTTGCAGTTTGGAATATCATAGGTGTTTGTCAGAGAATGTCAAAGAAATGGTTCAAACCATCATTCTTAGTGTTGTAGTATCACGATAAATATCTTTAGAAACTCAGAAAATCCCATCAAATGGTCTTTTAGAAAATCAGAAAACAACCTTTTTTTTAAAAAAAATCACACTAAAATGGTGATGTGAATATGTTTAAAAGTGTCACAAATTAATCTATACGGAGGGCAACTGAATAAAAATAGAATAGAAAGTATAACTTAATTAGATACCACTCAAACTAAATAGAATGTAAAAACATAGTACAATGCTTTGTTTTTTATATGTATCCCTGTGTAAATCTCATATGAAGTTCCCTCACATATTTCGTCGGTACCCTTACCCTTAATCCAAACAAAATGATGCATAGTGTTAAGTGAAAATGTTAGTTTAACTCTTGGTCAAAATAAATGACCAGATGTGAAATTTACCCTTTAATAAAAGATGAGCCTTGGCCCCATTCGTTTCTAATAAAAATGAAAGTTAGGATATGGATAAAACAAACCAATAACACATGATTAATTAAATTTTAACACATAATTAATTAAATTTTAATCATTACAAGCTTAATTTGAAACAGATTTATTTGATGTTTTAAAGAAATTTACATACAAAAAGTTTTTTCGCACGCATAGAATCTGTATCCTAATCAGAAGCTAATGGGGCCTTTACTTGGGCCGATATTTGCACGACTGACCCTCCAACTATTCGCATTTTGCATTTCGATCCTCCTTTTGCCTTTCCTCTCTCCTCTACTCCACACGGCGGCGGACCTCCGGCGAACCCCGCCGCGCGAGGCCGGTCCACGGGAATCGATGCAGCCATGCAGGGTTAACGAGCGCACTCTTACCTGCTGCGCCTCGCCTGCTCGTCCGCCGGAGAGGCTTCCAGGCGACGGGGGAGCCTCCGCCTGCTGCGCCGGAGTCCGCGGGGCAGCTGGGGGATCCGACGGCGGCGACAAAAAAAGGTACAGTGGAGTACAGGTGCAACCTAGGATTCAGAATATCCATTCGAAATTGGTGTTGCCTGTGATAATCATGGTTGGTTGATTAGCATTCTAGAGAATTGAAATCGAGAAGGAGCTTTTTTATCCAATAATTAGAAGAAATTATGAGTGTGTTTAGAATTAAACACGGAATCACCCCCCTTACCGCTACAATATCAAGTGCATCTCTTCTATTGAACTGATTTACCTTTTTGAAATTCAGGTTACTTGATTGGATCTAGGAGCTTTTTTTTTTTGTTTGACATGGTGAACAAGGTTCATGCAGAGATAGAACACACAGGCGAGGGCTGAAATGGTCCATCGATCGAATAATGGTATCACAACATGCATTTGGCCAAAATGACACCATGGTGATCAGCAACAAAGGGAGCAACTGATAAACTGAACCCTTACATCCATCCATACAGCCTGCATACTACTACACCTTTGGAAAGGAGGAGGATCACAATGTTGATAATGATGATGATGTACAAAAGATGGCAGTCAAAATCAACTCAAGTATCACTGCTCCAAGGCAAGCTTCTTGTGCCGGTCGAGATCGTTGAGGTAACTTGAGCGAGTATAATCCTCTGAATCGCCGGAGTCGAACATGAGGGGTTTCATGAGTTTTGGTCTTTGCATTTGCATCATTTCGAGTGATTCCCTATCCCCCTTCAAGAAACGGACCACCTACAGGCATCAAACCAACAGGTCAGTTTACAATCCAAATTGTTTCTTTTTTAGCCTTTACAATGGCCGTATAGTTAGCGTGTTCATCGCACTCACCGATTTCATGCTAGGCCGCGAGCTTGAGCTGTGGTGAATGCACATGGATGCCACTGCTAGGATGTGAGCCATTTCTTCTGGATCATATCCAACATCAAGAGAAGGATCCACTAGTTCCTTCATGTTGTTCGAGTCGAGCAATGGTTTTGCCTATGCACATGACAAACAACAGCTTGTGAATTCAAGGGCTTCAGATGTATGTGATTATACCAGTTCATGTTATCCATTCAAGTATTGTAGAATTAACTTTTGATCATCACTTGCCTCTCTCAATATGACCAGACAATGATATAAAATGAGCTGATTTGAATTTTTGTATAATGGAGCATATTAGAGATTTGCTTTTATTACCCATATTACTAGGCTTTGTCTGGAGGAATCCACGGCTTTCCGTCCTGTCACTAGTTCAAGAAGCAAAACTCCATATGCAAACACATCAGTCTTCTCATTTATGATCCCGTGCATGAAATACTCTGGAGACATATACCTAAGAAAGGGTGTAAAGTCTAAGTTAAAACCAACAATGGCATTGTTTCTTTTTCTGGGTACGATTAAATCATTGTGATGAAACTGAAAAAAACTTATCGAACTCACCCGAATGTCCCTTCAATGGGGAACACAACATGATGAGTCCATTTGTCAGGAAGCCACTTTGCAAGTCCAAAATCTGAGATCTGTGCAATGAGGGAGTAAAAACTGTTGCATTTAAAAGAACCCTAGGAATCATATAACAGATAGGACTACGGCAAGAGACTGGTAGTAGAATACATACCTGAGGTTGGTAATCTTCAGTTAGAAGGATATTTGATGCTTTGATGTCTCTGTGAATTATGCGTCGATGGCAGCCTTCATGTAGATAAAGCAGTCCTTCAGCAATTCCAAGAGCAATATTGAACCTAGCCTTCCACTTGAGGGCTCCCTTTGTGCCTGTTCAGCTGAACTCCATTTTATCACCAGACTAAGGGTATTCTAAGTATTCTCTTATATTGATTTTTTTTTTAGAAAGAGGATGATGCTTGAGTTCAGATATGTGATACGGCCTATAGTATATGCATTTAAGAGGCAATTGAAATGAGGGCTACAAGAAGTGATAATGTAAAATTTGTATGAAGCCTACCAAAATGGAAATCACAAATTCGCACATACTTATTGGAGAACTACATTTCATAGTTCAGATACTGCCTAAATGAATATGTTGTACTACATGGTAGCATGAATGTCAAGAGATATCTGTTCTCTAGTTGATTCCTAATAGTAAGGTCTATATATTTCTTACTTTTCTAAAAAATGATATATGATGTAACATGCCACCACATAGCAGCAATGCAGCATATCTCTCAGAAATTGGATTCATTAAGTAAAGAATATTTAGAGGAAACCATACCATGAAGAACAGAAGCCAGGCTTCCATGAGGTGAGAACTGAAGAACCAAGTGCAAGCCCCCTTCCACACTGAACCCCAAGAGCTGTGCCGCATTTGGATGGTTAACATGAGCTATTATTCCAAGCTCAGATAAGAAATCGCTAATCCTGTCCTCTTTGTTACCACCTTTTGTTAGTCTCTTCACTGCTACAAATTGTCCATCAGCAAGATGTCCTTTGTACACCTCAGCATGCCCGCCTTTTCCGATCAAATTTTCTAGTAATATCAAGCATGAAGCAAAAGATTCAGAGAATATTTAACATAGATGAAGATAATATAATTAGGCCAAAAGCTGTACTTTGTATCACATGACCCTTGGAGCTATGATATAGAGGCAGAGCATAACAGCTAAGATTTCTGTATTATATGCTAGAGTTACCGCAATGTAGAACAAAATCAGGCCCTATTTGTTAATGATTTGGTATTACAGTGTTATGCACTTATACTTTAATACTTCTCACTTTTCTAACTTCTAATCAGTAATCAGTCATCATTACACTAAATAACAGTTCATGATTTGAATCTCAAGCCCTATGTTTCCTTGGTGAAATTATACTGCTGCAGTTATAAATTCATAGCTTAGTGTTAAAGCTACATCCCATAAGTTCTGCAATGATAGTAACATGGCCTAATCGAGTGACAGCATTGCAGCAACAAAGAAGTAAGTTTTGCATATCACCTGAACTGAATTTGTCAGTTGCAGCACAAAGCTCACTGTAGTCGAAGCTTCTCCATGATGGCCTCCACTTGCTGATCTCAGGAAGGATCTCAGGAGCAATGGCGCCGCAATCGATCTGGTTCTTGCCGCTCCGCATCCTCTCCAGGTACCTCTTAAGCCCTGTGGTCTTGGTTCTCTGAGGGAATGTCCCCGCTCTCGCCATCGACTTCCTCCTCCTGAGTATCAATCCACTGATCAGGTTCCTCCACTGCGTATTGTGATTCGACTCCGCTGGCTGCTCAACGGAGGAGCTCTCATCGGAGTCGACACTACCGGATACCGAGATGTCTAGCACCGCGCGAGGAGAGCTCTGATCGGTGCACTCGCTGCTGTCATCGTTACCGGCCTTCGAATCCATCTTAGGCGCCTCTTTGCTACCTCCATCAGAATCAGCAGATTGGCTGCTACTGTCACCACCACTACTACTGTCACTGGGTTCTTCAGTACTGCTCCTGTCACTGGGTTCTTCAGTGCTGCTCCTGTCACTGGGTTCTTCGCTTGATACGACGGCTTCGGTTACTGACCCGCTATTGCTGCAATCCTCATTTTTCGCTTCGTCGGAATCTCTGATGGTGTTTTCTTGGTGCTCCCCTGGCCCTGAACACAGCAAAGGAGATGTAGACATAGCATGGGCTATTATCATAGGTTTGTTATGCTACAAAACTGAATTTTATCAAGAAGACAAATTAACTACCTACTACTACAAACATCAAGACAAACAAAGTGCAAAGCAAGTCAAGGCAAGAAACACATCATCATCACACACACAAACACAGGCTCTCAGATCCCTTGACAGTGGATGATAAGGGGGGAGAGGCTTGTGTTTGTCTCGTTTCCCATGAAAACCACATGCTGCCAGTCGACAGTATCTGAGGCATTTCTATAATTCAGAGATTTGCACCAAGAATTGACATGCGCACCACCCTCTGCACCCTTCCAAAATTGATGCTTTCTTTCTATCTATCACACACAGACAGACACACAACTAAGTCTGAAAATAACCTGTGCATCTCTGTGATTTGCTTGCAATTTGCGAAAGATCATCAAGAGGGTGCTTAAATCAACATAAATGTCGATTTCAAAGATTTTGGTTTGGTGAGAAAAATTGGAAGAACTTGACAATCTACCCATCTTCTATATGATGATAGGGAATGGAAGCCTGCCCAACCTAATAGCATATTTAAAAGTTACAAAGAAGACCAGAATCCAGCAGCTGACATCTCTCTTTTTTTTAATCTCTTGTTGCCCTCTTAGAAAATGACATGTTAGAGCTTCAAAGCTGTGAGCATGCCTGGAAAAAAAAGCCATGATTTTTCCAGGACTAATGGAGCACTTAGACTAAAGCAAGAAAGAAAGAGAAGATACAGACAAGCACTAATTGTGCCACACATGCAGCAAAGAGATGAGGAAATTAAGCAGTAAAAAAAATAATCAAAATCACCACAGCTAACCTTCCTTAACAAGCAGATCCTCCTGCCTCCCATCTTCATTACCGACCTCTGCAGATTCAATCACCAAATACTCCTTCAGTTTCGTCATCACCAACAATTTCTTCTTCTGAATTTCTCTCTCTCTCTCTCTCTCTCTCTCTCTCTTCCCCAAGACGGACAGAAGAAGAAGAGAGAAGAGAGCAGAAGAAGAAAGAAAAAAGAGGAGCAAACTTGTATGCGAGAAACAGAATATTTGAGAGAGAAGAGAAGAATACCTTCGTTGGAGGCCATGGACGACATTAATCCCTCCTCCTCCTCCTCGTCGCCGTCGCCGTCTCCTTCGCTTTCAAACGACGACGAAAAACTCAACGGGAGGAGCAATTGCTGCCGATGCTTTCTTGCATTGAAGTCGACCAACCGTTGAAGCAGAGAAGAAGCAACCAAACCAAACCAACCCAACTGAGGCAAACAGTGCAGAGCTAAGCTCGCACGGTGCCCAAGAAAATGGAGGATGGAAAGAAATTAATACTGGAGCTAGAGAGAGAATTGCTAGGACAGTAGAGAGAGAAAGAAGATGGCGGGTTCTTTTGAAAACTTGGCTGTGCCTGCACACTGCACAGTGCAAGCAGTGCCTTCCTTTGTGTTGCAGCTATTCCTCTCTTCTCTCAAAAGAAGAGAACATTTGTAGATAGAGAGAGAGAGAGGGGCAAGCAAAGCAAGCAGCCTAGAGAGAGAAAGCAGCAGCAGCAGTAGGAAGAGGAGACAATGCAATGAGAGCAATGAGGCTGGTGGTGTGGTGGTACAACCTTTTGTAGGAGTGTGTACTACTAGTGACCTCTAGACCTTTGTAGGGGACCTACAGCAACATGCCAAAGGGAGAAGAAGAAAAATTATTCAGAAAACATAAAAAGAAATGGACTTTGTAATTAGAAAAATGAGCTTTGTAATAATGGAATGGTTTCTCTTGGAGAAGAGAAGAGGAGATCATCTGGTTGGTGGTGGAGAAAGAATGGATTTGGATGTGTCTTTGTCTGTGTGTGTTATCTCTGTACTCTACTACTCCTCCTCCTGTTCAGTAATTAATCGTCGTGGTGCATGGGATTGGATGTTGCTGTTAGGGGACAATGAGGTTGATGTCGTGTGATTAAGTAATAAACAATGATTTATTAGTGACAGTAGGGTTGGTAGGTGTGGAGGATAAATATCTCTCAAATTAGAGAGCCTCTCTTCCAGTGGAGTATTTATTGTCCTTTGCTAATTTTGCTATGGCTCTATTTTAGGTGAGGCCTTGGAAGATTTTGTGATGATCTGGTTTTTCTCACAATTCCACCTCTTCAGATTTTCAATTTTAGAACCAAATTTATAAGTTTATTCGCTTGTTTTTTGTTACCCAACTCTCTTTTCATAATTGCGATGAAGACGAGTAAAAATTATACCTGAAATTATTTTTAAAAAAATCAAATTTCAAAATTATACTCAAGCATGTGTATTGAAAGGAACAATGAAAATGCAGTGGACTATTTTATTGTAGAAAGTCGGCAAAGTTTATGGATCATGATTTGCTCTAAAACGTGGCAGCAATCAAGGTTCAGTTGGAAAGCTTGCCTAAACCATTCCATTCTTTGAAGATAATGTATCATACTACGGTTTTGTCTAAGGATTTCATGAGAAAATCGCATGAGAATGAGATACTATCATTTTTTTTACTTGGATATGCCAGCTTATTCCCAGTAATTTTTTTTTTTGAATAACCTAATGAGTGTGTATCATAACAGCGATACCGTTGAAATTGTAAGTGAAGTCACTTTACAGAATACAGATACTTTAGATTTGTAAACAAGTCACGAGCAGGAAAAAAAGATTCACTCCCTTAGGTTTGCTTGTTGGCTTAGAAGCCGCATCAACCTTTAAAATTTCAAACTTAATTTTAATTTTAAATTATCCTAGATGTTTTATTTTCACCATTTTTTTGGCTTCTGAACCGTTAAGAATATAAATATAAAAAGTTTTATTCTAATTGTTTTTAAGAAAAATTATATTCTATTTTTTCGTTACTTCTTTTTTTTTCTACCGCTTATCAACCAAAATCAATCAATGATGCTGGGAAAAAGAAGAAAAGAAAAACTGGTTCCGTTAGTACAGGAGTTGTTCGGAATATTGGGCGCGGCTACAGTAAGATAACGTTTATCTCAAACTCAAATTCCACAGTTGGGAACTTCAAATTCCAAATCTTCGTATCTCAAAATTCCAAATTTCGAATCCCATGGGAGCATTTACCCCACAGAAAGCAGAAGCAAGGACAAATTGTAGCATTCTCACCGGATCATCAGAATAAATCCTCATCAGAATAACTCCCATATCTAATTCAGATATGAGAAGATTCACATGTCCTGCACAGTGCAGATCGCCGACGTTTACCTCGCGGATCCATTGAATACGTCGTTCATACCACGAGTATACACTATTGATTGCATCCGTAGCACTGTTCCTTCTTCTACTACTTCTTCTTCTTGTTCTGATATCTTCTTCTCATCAATAATTCACAAGACTGGTTCTTGAAATGTTCCCATCAATCTCTGTCCAGATGCTCACCCAGGTCGAAGATTTTTGTTTTTTGGAAGAATTTTGGTGAAATGATCGCTGAATGCGAGCCAGAAAAGATTATTTCGCACATTGATTCCAGCAATAAATTTCACAAAGATCACGTATGAATGATGGCAAACGGCCCCATCTTTTCGCTTAAGCTCATGCTTATCAGCCAAAATTCAAATTTTCAACCTTAAATTTGAAGCTGATTTTGAGGTTTTTTTATTGAAGTTTATTTTCAACCTTTATCTTTAGGTCGCTAAAAGCATGTATATAAAAGTTTTATTCACAAATTAATTCTCGTTTGTAAATATGCTGTTTGGCCAAATAATGGGGCCGAAAGCTTCTTCGAGAATACTATTGAATTGTGGATGAACGAGTATTCAGCTATAGTATCAGACATCGATCCATGGTTTGGTGTCCTGCCGTTTTCAGGCTCAAAGCCAGTTGACAGAGCTCCCATTCGAGGACGAAAATCAACGAAACTCCTTAAATAACCACCGTTTCGAATTGACACGTGCACCATGAACACGACACAAATTCTAATCCAAATCGCCTCTCCCAATCTCCATTCTCCGAGAATGGATACAAATTGCTGTCCATTATTCAACTCTGACGGCTGACGATGGCAACGATGCATGCATGGCAATATGGCATGCAGAAGAGGCAAGTTGGATTAGGTAGGTAGTTTAGTTAAGTTTAACAGTGCCATCAAGGCATCAACTAACCTGAAAAGTAATTAGTATGCAGAGTTAAGCAAAGGGATTATTGTACTAGTACTGCACCTTTTGCTGTTCATTGCTGATGTTGTACTGCTTGTACTGAACCTGTGTCGCCAATTAACTGAAGAATCATGTATGGCAGAGAAATTATTTTCCATTAATAATAATAGACATTCATAAATAGATATACATACATAGTTAAAGTTATAATTGGAATACTTAGACCCCAAACCTTGTAACTAAGGATAAAAAAGCTATTACAAGACTAAGCTATATTTGCTTCAACCTTACTATGTTCTTATGCAACACCAACCCATTACATCGCTCGTCTACGTAGAAACCTGGATATTAGAATTGTTGCCAGAGAAAATGCGCAGGGGTCTTCCGGTTAGCTCCACAAGTTGGTGGGATAGACGACCTGCGTTCAAAGCCTCACCCCCTTCTAATTATTTGATAATGATCATTCCCTAATATTCGCGTTTTATTAGAATTGTTGCTAGAAAATTATCATCTGTTGCTACTCGAACCATGTTGAATAGAAACCACATTGAGGCACGTAATCGATTGGCAGTGAAAAGAATGGAGTTGGCGGACCGAATCCTCGCCGTTTTTAATCGTGTCGATGCAACTCGCCAACTGAAACTGAATCAACCTGTGGTATCTTCAAGGGATCTCCACTCCATCGAGCAGCATATTTTCTTTCTCCTCCTCTTCTTGGTCTTTGGTCCCCTTCTTTTAAGCGAAAAGTAGCATCTTTTATGTTCTGAAGAAACATGCTAGGAAAAGACAAACAACAATAAGAAAAAAAAAGTATTACTAACTGGATGCTAAACTGCTAATGTTTTTCATTGCTCAATAAATTATCCATGAGAAAAAAAAAGATTATAACTGTCACTAGAATGCAATGATACCCCTCTATTCTTTTTTACCTTTAGTTTTGGACATGGACATGGACATGGTTCTCTAATGTATATGTTTCATTCATCATTACGTTTTCTAGTTATATGTTTATAAAACTTGTTAAAAATATTCCCATATAGTGTTTTTTATGAAAAATATATTAATACCATTTTTTCCATATCAAATACTAATGTTTTTTAATCTCTGAATGTTCTAAGAGTTTAAGATTTGACTGCATGCATTTAGGACATCATCCTTTTAAAAACAGAGTGTTAAAAAAATTTCCATATTAGGTCGCTGGTTTGTCATTGAAGTGAGAGGTAAGTTGCAGCGGCAAAGGAGAATTAGCTCGTTTTTTACAGTAGAAAATTAGCCATTCCAACAAATCCTAGTCTCAGATTGTTTATGCATTGAAAAACGTCGAGAGGTTTTCCAGCTAGCTCTACTAAGACATTGCCTGAGTTCAAAGTCTCACCTTTTCTATTTATTTGATATTATGTCATTTTCTAGTATTTGCGTTTTTAATTGTTTACGCGATGAATGATAAGCTGTACGAAATAAACGAAACAACAAAAATTAATCTATAGAATTTATTTTCTTTTGTTCTTAAAAGCTGATACTGAAAAATAATTTTTGATGAAAAGCCTCCAAAATTAAGTTTTAAAACTTAAATTTTAGTAACTGCTGATAACTCAAGAAGCAGTGTGCTCGGTGCAAACCACTGTTTTCACTCCATTACCTACATGGTGACCAACGCATTTGAGCGCTAGCTTATTCAGTTGATGGCAAAGCATTAATGCAATGCACGACATATATACCAGGATACAGCTTCCTCTGTCCCAAAGACCATTATGGATAATCAATTTTTTAGGAGAGGACACAATATGGTCCTAGAAAAACCACAATTACAACACGCCCAGCACTAATACTGTCTTGGTACCATTAGCACATGGCTTCCTAGTGATAGGAAAATTAAATAAATAGGCCTCATTTTTAAGGCATCACCCAAACCAAACGGCTCCTTAAATTGCCTTCGTACTGTACTGATACCCCCTTCACACGTCAACACCAAAGAAAAAATTAGCTCTCCTGATGGCATCAAAAGAAAATTCAGAAAAAAAATTAAATCGAGGGAAATTAGCTGGCACCAAATTTAAAGAAAAATTAAGATGTCAAGAGATGACGCCAAAGAAATCGAGGACAAAAAAAAAGAAGCTTGAGTTTTTTTTTAGGAAAATATATTGCTAGCAAGTTTCCTGAGCTGCTAAACAGTGTGTTTTGTGCAACAATTTCTATATAGAAGTTTTGCAAAAAAATTCAGCATATCTATTTTTAAAATTTAAAGTAATTAATAATTAATTAATCATATATTAACGATATACTCCCTCCGTTTCAAAATATTTGACATCGTTGACTTTTTAGTACGTGTTTGACCATTCGTCTTATTCAAAAAATTTAAGTAATCATTTATTCTTTTTATATCATTTTATTTATTGGTAAATATACTTTCATGTACACATATAATTTTATATATTTCACAAATTTTTTTTGAATAAGATGAACGGTCAAACACATGCTAAAAAGTCAACGGTGTCAAACATTTTGCAATGGAGGGAGTATCTGTTTTGTGTTTGACTGAAGAGTTCCAGTCATTCGCTTAAACGAACGCACCTTAAATAATGTGTGGTGGAAGAATGTCTTTTTTTAGAAAACTTATGTTTCTAAGCATGTAATAAATAATATGTTTTAATAATTCGGTGAATAAGTCGAAAAGAGCAAATCAAGGGAAACTAGCAGCCTAGCAAGCTCCAAAATAAAATTAAGATGTCAAGAGATGACGCCAGTGAGATCCAGGACCATAAAAAGAAAGCTTGAGATTGAAGTGGTTTGGTGTACTTGGTAGTGTCGCAACAGCAGCCGGTCAAAATACAGTTGAGCAGGCCTGCCGTCTGCACTGCACTGCACTTTTGTCCCTGAAAGACTTTTTTTGGGTGCTTCAGTGGATAAGGATAGTATAGCTTTGGTGCATCTGGATTAAGTCACCTTCCGCTAATTAATCACTGGATTTTGACATGACATACACAATGCTGCTTTGCTGATCACTAAGCTAAAAATTGGTTGTGTGGATGCTCCTGTCATGGTTTCTGAAACATGGAGTTGGAGGGCTTTGGCATATGCAGGAGAAGAGCAGATGATCTGAGCTTCTGACTTCATGTCTGTGTGTGTGGTTAGCAAAACAACAACACTAATCTTTTTGAGTGCAAGTTTTGCATTAGTACAAGCTTAAGATGCAGTGAAGCAAGCAACCTAAAGCAACAGAAGAAGAGAGATGATGGATCACGAGCAGGTGAGCGACTCCAATTATCCATTCTGGTAATCTGGCCCAAGTCCTGGGCTGTGTCACTTGACTCACTAGATGTCAGAGATGACGATATGCTCCTGTTAATGGTGCCGCTGTTTGCAACGCATGAAACCTAACTTCGCAAGATTGTCTCTCCTTTCTTTTCTTTTTATCTAAACAAAGTCTAAAATTGGGAATTAATCATTTCCTACAATTGTCAAGGAGAAGATCAGAAGAGAAGATGAGCATCAATCACCATGAGTTACTTGTCAACAGAACGGTAGTACTGACACCGACAAGTACTGGATTTTGGACCACGATCACAGGAGTGATTTGTGATCAAACTGTCTCTCCAATAACAAAGATTTTTATTTTGTTTTTCCTCGCAGACCAGTTCAAACGAAAGTACAAAACCTGACTTATTAACCGATGTATCGATGGATGTGGATCGAGAGTTTGGTCAGGCACATGCTGCAGATCGAGCCATTACTGCGGCGGCGGCGTGTGTGGAAGAGATTGAGAGATCAGAATTGCCTGTGAAAATGACCGAAACCTAACGAAGTTTTGCTACGCCATTTGTGCGTGCGGATTTGAAGGCTCACACGCCGAACTCCGGTGGCTCGCCGGCCGAAGCGGCGGTCTTTCCGGCGAGATCGTGCGTTCGTGTAACTGAAGACAGCGACGGTGTTGGATCGCCATGAGTGTACTGTATACGAGGATATCGATGGGTTTTATTATATCGCATTTGTTCAGAATCACGTTGGTTGCCTGCAGAAATTTGATGAAGGATGTCAGGTTTGGGTAGTTGTATGGGCTATAAGATGAGGTGTGTTGGGTAGATGGGCCGGATAATGTTGAGCAGGCCAGGAAGGCTTTGGCCCAGAAATTTTCAGAGATCTAGGGAGGAATAAGTCCATTTTCATTCCTCAACTTTCCGTCGAGTTTAATTGATAACTCTAAACTGCAATATCAGACATCTTCAACCCCATCATAGTAAAACCATTCAAGTCAGATCCCGTGACAATATGGATACTTGTTTTTGCTGACGTGTTTCAGCAAAAAGGAAATTAAAAAACAAGTGGGCCCACATATAAGTGGACTTCCACATCTCCCCACCTATTCCATCTCTCCCCTCTCTTTCATAGGAGCTCGTCGGCAAGGAGAGCGGTGACAGCTGGCTAGACCGTCCGCACGAGGCAACGGTGGGAGGTCGGTGATGAGGTGGCTCTGGTGGTCAGCCATAGTGGAGGAAAAGAGAAGGGAGGCGAGGGAGCCAGCCATCCGCGAGAAGGCATCAGTGAAGGAGAGGATCCAATGCCCCAGCAACTCCGCCTTAGGTACTCCTGCGGTCCTGTGATGCTGGAGTGGGCTCTTCCCCACCACTCATGCTCATCCTCGTGGGACGTTCCTCCCCACCACTAGGGGTGGGCTCGCCGCCTCCACCCAATCATGTTGAGAATAGGAGGAGGAGCCGTGGAGGTGGAACTTGAGCTTTGAGTGGTGGTTGCGTCACCATGTCCTAGTTCCCGTCCCGAGCCGCTCGTTCTTTGGCTTATTCACCGAATCTTGGTTCGTCTCCACCAGTGGGACGCGCTCCACAGCGAGTCAACGGTGGCGGTCCGGCCAGGCACCTCTTTGTCGCTCCTCGACTGGTCGACAGAAGCGATAGAGCTGATGAGGTCGAAGGTAAAGGTAGCATCGGCATGGTCCGCCGTCTTCCGGTAAGACACTCACACTGTTTGCTAGATAAGTTCAAAGGGGAGGTCCCAACATAGATGACGGCCGCGACTTCTCCTTCGATTCGGCAGCCCTTGCTCCAATTTGACCGCGCGCCCCCTTAGGAGAGAGAGAGAGAGAAGCTAGAGAGAAGAGGGGAGGACAGTGATGATGACATGCGGGGGCCACTTTTGGTTTTGCCACATAAATTCCTAGTTAGCACGAGTGGAACAGATCAACTTGCCAATTGCCATGTCAACAAAATCTCAGACCTCAGATTATTGGTTGTGGATTACTCGTGCCATGCTCCAAAAAAATTCGATTTCTACAAAATCTTTTCGAAACATACATACGCATTTGCTCACAATACGTGTACTCTCACTCCTATGAATGCACACACGCACACCCTACCGCTATGACCTTTCGGAAGACTATGTCGACATATCTCGAGATTGACGAAGTCACCATGTTGTCTCGCTGTCGGCAGGTACAGCACCTACCACTGAAAGAATAATTAGCCGTGAATGTGAGTACATGTGTCAAATCTAGAACTTGTACCCAGGTAGGCTGGTTCCACCACGAAGAATCTAAACAATTGAGCAACGCTTACTTCACGATTTCTCCGTAAACTTTAAACGTTAGAACTGTTCATTGTTTAGACTGCTTTGTGTTTAAATTTATTTTTAAGGTTTGTAATATATAATATTTGACTAATTCACATAAACAAATCCATCATCTTTAATCCAAATTACATGGTTCTTTGAAACGTAGTATTGAAAAAAAATGGAATAATGGAAAAAGAGCAAAGGATTTAAACGTGAACATAAATGCAAAATAGAGTACAACAAAACATAAGAAAAATATAGAAATAGTGGTTTGTGTAGACCGCGGAAAAAACACATGAATCGAATTAGATAAATAGACTCGCATGAAATTTTTCAAGGGTTTAGAGTTCTTGTAATTTTCCTCTAAATTTTTTTTGTAGAATTGTCCATTTTATATGATTTTAAAACAAAAGTATAGGATTAAATCTTTGTTTCGAAGACTTTCCTACGATTTTCCTATAATATAGAAATTCTCCAAATTTATCTCCGTTTCAGGTTATAAGACTTTCTAGCATTACCCACATTCACATATATGTTAATAAATCTAGACATCTATATGAATGTGTATCTAGATTCATTAACATTTATATGAATATGAACAATGCTAGAAAGTCTTATAAACTGAAACGGAGGAACTATATGTTTTTTTTTAGAAGGAAGTATATGTTTTTGGTACGGTTCAGGAGGCCCTCATGGGGAAAAACTACCAGGACGCTCTCCAAAAGGATGAAAAAGAACATTACTTTGGGCGCGTTGGATCCAATACAGATGGTCGAGATTGACCCACGTCGTCCAAGGATTCGTCCACGATTCAGAAGACGTTGAACCTTATCCGTTTCTGCAACGCTACGCTGTGTTTCTCTGGTTTGGGGAGCTTTGGAATGAACTGAGGCAGCAGCAGAGGACGGAGCCGGCAAGCCATGGCTCCCTCCGCCGCCGCCGCCGCCGCCGCCGCCGCCGCCGCCGCCACCGCCTCGCCGCTGTCCCGTCTCCTGCTCAGCCTCCCAAACCCCAGCGTGAAACTTCCCGTGTCTTCTCCGAGCCGGAACGCCGGCGCCGCCGTGGCCGCCAAGAACAGCACCCCCGTCGTCGCCCTCCGCCGGCGCGAGGCCGTGGCCGCCGTGCTGTCCGCATCCATCCTCTCCCGCGTGCTCCCCGCGGCGGCGGAAGCGTCCGGCGGCGAGTGCCCGCTCGAGGTGGCGCCCAACGGTCTCGCCTTCTGCGACCGCGTTGTCGGCACCGGCGCCGCCGCCGAGCAAGGGCAGCTCATCAAGGTCAGCACGACAGCACGCACCTGCCCGCCCACCGGCCGCCGCCGGCGAGGCGAGGTCTCGGGGTTCTTGCTAACCTCGCCGTGTGTTTCGTTCGTCCCACGCAGGCGCATTACACCGGGAGGCTGGAGGACGGCACGGTGTTCGACAGCAGCTACAAGCGCGGGAAGCCGCTCACCTTCCGCGTCGGCGTCGGCGAGGTAAACACGATCAATCAATCAAGCACACTAACAGATTCTGCAAGATATTCAAACATTGTACTAATCGGCAACAGATTACGCAGCTACACGATGAATTAGACTCATCTCTGATACCAAGATCACTCACATTGCATATTCACTGATAATTCTTCAGGTGATCAAAGGATGGGACCAGGGCATAGTGGGCGGCGAAGGGATCCCGCCGATGCTCGCCGGTGCGTCTCCCTGCCTGAACTGAACCCTGAAAAATGACAAAAATCTGAAATGAACTCACCATACTCGATCAGATTCACCTCGATTTTGTATCAATTTAGAGAAATGGTGAAGCTGAATGGAAATGTGGTTGAATGTTCAGGTGGAAAGAGGTCGCTGAGGCTGCCGCCGGAGCTGGCCTACGGCGCGAGAGGAGCCGGGTGCAGAGGCTGGGAGCCCACCTCCTGCGTCATCCCGCCCAACTCCACTCTCCTCTTCGACGTCGAGTACGTCGGCAGAGCAGTCGGATGATCTCTCCCTGCAGATTTGGTTTCTTGTGTTGATTGATGTATGCAGAATGTTCAGAGTATATATCGATACCGAGTTGAGAGTTTCAGACTGAGAACATTTGCAGAGAGATTTAAGCAGCACGATCGTGGTCTACGGGTTTGAAATAGGTTATAGATTGTGAAAATTCCAAAAGCTTTGGTGAGTTTGGGCATGATCAAGCACATCATGCCCAAAACTTCAATTCCAAACTACAACATTATCCTTTTTCATTAGCACCATTTCTCGAGCTGCTAAATAATGTGTTTTTGTAAAAAAAAATATTTCTGTATATAAGTTTTTTAAAAATAAATCAAAGAAATATTTTTTTTTAAGAAGGAGAGCAGCGCTCTCCCATTTCATTTACTGAAATGCAGATTACCCAAAATCAAAGAAATCTATTTTTGAAATTTATAATGTTTAGTAATTATTCATGGGCCGTCTCATTTTATGTGCTAATATGCTATAATCTAATAAGGAGTTTCAAACGGGCCTAAAAACATTTAGGGAGAGAATTTAGGAACACGACCATGCTGAGCGAGTTTGAACAACATTGCCAAAATGCCCAAAAAAAACTTTGGTGACTGATTTCGGCAAGATCGTCCACACCATCAAGCTTTCATATTCTCTCAATGATTGGTTATACGTACGAGTTCTCATTCAGATGATTTTCGAAGAATTTTATCTGAAAATTGTAGTATGAACGAATCCGGAAATGAAACGATTTTGCTAAATTTTTGCCGGGTGATTTTTTTTCATAGTATTTGACGTTTTTCTAGCCGCACGATGTTTTCCAAGATTTGTGCAAAAGCAGGGTCAGTTGAGTCCATGACCAAGTCAACCTGACTTTATATCGATGGATTCATGTACATCACGCATGTCAGATTGTCAGTAGCCATTTACTTCTTCTATCTATTTCTTTCTTTCTTTTTTCTAGGTACCAAAATTTACAGTGCACTTGTACTAAAATAAATTACAGTACACTTACATACCATATCTACTGTTTTTACAAATATAATTTTAGTTATAAAGCACTGTATTTAGTTATAAATGCAATATTTAACACTTCAGATATCTGCACGGTTTCTCAAGCAATGTATTTATACTAAAACGACAAATATTCTAGTTACCCAAATTTACAACGCACTTGTACTAAAATTATAGTGCACTTACATGCCATATCAACTGTTTTTACAAATGTAATTTTAGTTATAAAGCACTGTATTTAGTTATAAATGCAATATTTAACACTTTAGATATCTGCACGGTTTTCTCAAGCAATGTATTTACGGAGTTGCTAGAAATATGGCGCCATATGCTACAGTCGATTTTTTTTCAGCCACTTACACAGTAGTTACACCTCATTTACACCCCAATTTACATATGTAATTTTAGTACTTACATATGTAATTTTGAGACTTACATTGTAAATACACTAAAATTACATATGTAATTTAGGGACTTACAATGTAAATACATACCGACTATTTTTTGATGAAAAATATGGCGCCATAAATATAGCTACACCCATGTATTTATACTAAAACGACAAATATTCTAGTTACCAAAATTTACAGCGCACTTGTACTAAAATTACAGTACACTTACATGACATATCTACTGTTTTTACAAATGTAATTTTAGTTATAAAGCACTGTAATTTTAGTTATAAATATAACATTTAACACTTCAGATATCTGCATGGTTTCTCAAGCAATGTATTTATACTAAAACGACAAATAAATTATAGTGCACTTACATGCCATATCTATTGTTTTTATAAATGTAATTTTAGTTATAAAACACTGTAATTTTAGTTATAAATGCAACATTTGTCGGTAATTTTAGTTATAAATGCAACATTTGTGTTAATCTTTATTGAATACTACTCTACTAATAAGTACAATCACATGCTACTTGGACGGTTTCTCTGTATTGTTATTTTTTTTTTTACCGTTGGATGCAGATACGAGGGGAGAAAAAAATTGGGTGATTTTTTTCTCAAAAATAACACGCCACATGCCTAGACAGTCCCATCAGGAAAAGTTCTTCGAAGTAAAGGCCCATTGTATGACATATCCGGGCCGCAATTGTGGCCCATCCGTCGCAAGTTTCCCGGGCAAAGCGAGATGGGCCGAGATTGCGATCTGTCAACTCTCTTTTGTGGGCCCCACCTGTCAGTCTCCGTGTCTCGCTGACTTCCTCTGCATCTCTCGCGCCGCCTCGCCGGCGAAGGTCGCCTCTCCGGCTCCGCCGCCGCCGTCATCACGAGGGCTGCCACGGTCACGAGCAGGCGGGCGCCGGCGAGGTGGAGGACGGGAGTAGCGGTTGCGGGGAGAAGAGGAGGCCGGTGAAGGGGAAGAGGAGAGGGTAGGCTTGCCGGCGGCGGCATCGGGCGACGGCGACGTATCAGGTGAGAGAATCTCGGCGAGTTCTCTCGCCATCCGATTCTTCGATTCTCTTCCCTGTCAGTACGCCCCGCAATTCCACAGTGCTCAAATTTTACGGTTCAAGACAAATCATTATGCTGATGCAGAACGCAGCTAGAATTTTTCAGGTTTGCAGCCGTTTTTTTTTTTTTTTGGATTTCCGGACCGCTGTGCAAGATTCTGCAGGCTTGTGAGGAACACAAGAGGAATGGATAATACCCCACGATTTTCAGGAGGAGGAGATGATTGTGAGTTGATGCAGCAGAAACAAGAATGGGCCAAGTATACCCTCAGAACCATTCACCAATCAAGAGGAGTCAGTTCACATCTCATGCTGGTTTTTTCCTGTGCTGTAGAACACAAGACATGCTAAAGAGCAAGCTCATTCTTGAGGATGATTTTGGGTGGAATTTACCTTCAATGGGCTCAAATTCAGATCAGAGCAATGCTAATAATAAGGGCAACCTGAAGTATATAGGAGGTGTTGACATTAGCTTCTCGAAAGAAGACCCTTCCACGGCGTGTGCTGCACTGGTAGTTTTAGATGCTGGTACCTTAGAAGTTGTCCACGAAGAGTTCGATGTTGTTCGGCTGCAAGTGCCATATATTCCAGGATTTCTTGCTTTCAGAGAGGTATTGTGTGTCCTCTTATTTTGGCGTGTTTGGTTTGATCAAAACATATGTTTGCTAGATCATGAGCAACAGTTTATCCATGCCTTCTGTATTATTATTCAGGGGCCTAGACATTTTCATTTTCTGTAGTGATGAACAGGCAGACAAGCAAACAATGAAACAAAATCAAGATGGGTACATTCATATTTATTGTGTTTTTGCTAACTATTCTTTCTTCTTATCTGTATAACCATATATGGGTCTAGCATGTTCAATGCAAAATCAAGTTATGATTGGACGTGGATAAACTGTTGTTATATGCTAACTATTCTTTTAATTATTCTACTTTGTTAGATGGTTTAAAATATACATCAAGTATATTGTTATACAGCTAAAAGTGTCAACATGCACTACTTGTTACAGGCTCCAATTCTTCTAGGACTCTTGGAAAAAATGAAGACAAACAACCAGCATTTCTACCCTCAGGTTGCTTTGTCGTTGCAATTTACCCTTCTGTAAATAGGTTTACTGTGGCTTTATGCTTTGTAGCATTCCATGTTGTCATATGTTGTTTCCATTTTGACTGTGAAAACAGTGTGAATTGTCTGCGCTGATGTATAATCATTTGTCATCATAAATATCATTTATTCTAGAATTTTGATCTGGAATGCTTAATGGCATAAGCATTGGCATTAAATTTTAGATATGTTAGCGTCTTCTAGTTTTACATTTAACACTAGTTATGCCAGTGCCTTCTCTATGGTTTAACTTGATGAACTGACAGGTACTCATGGTTGATGGAAATGGATTACTTCATCCACGAGGTATACCTCATTAGTGATTAGTATCATGGCAATCTTAGTTTGTAAGACTAAGATGATTCATGTGATTAGAAAAAAACTGCAGAATCACACACATAACATGATTATATTATATTCTTTTAGAACGAACTACCTTGACAGTCCTTGTAGTCCCTAGTCAATTGACTTGGTGATAGCGTACAGCATGTCTAGTTATGCATATACACTGCAAGCTGCATCAATAAACTACTTGAATGCATGACCCTCTAACTTACATATGTTCAACAGGTTTTGGTTTAGCTTGTCATCTTGGTGTCCTTGCAGACCTGCCGACCATTGGAGTTGGAAAAAATGTATTAATATTACTGCCATTGCAACTACTCCTATGGAAGTTCTCTCATCTAGTTGTTTTCCGACCATTTCAAGTACTTGATGGTTTTCTGATGTTCTGATCCTCTGAGAGAAGACTAAGTCCTCAGTGTTTTGAATGCCCCAGCTGCACCATGTGGATGGCCTTAACCAATCTGAATTGAGAAGACAATTAGAAGCAAAAGAAAACTGCAACAAGGAGTTAATTTTATTGACTGGACAGTCTGGGACAACATGGGGAGCTGTAGGAGATTCTATATTGGACCTCTGAATGCATCCTTCACTTCATTTCTGTCATATATTTCCTGATAATGAAAAGGTTTCTATTGTTGGAACTAAACTATTAACTTATCCCAGGCAATGTGCTCCTGCCCTAGTTTGTCGAAGCCGATCTACATCTCAGTTGGGCATCGCATTTCACTTGACTCAGCCATTGGGATAGTGAAGTTCTGTAGTAATTATCGCATTCCCGAGCCCATTCGCCAGGTAGAATTTTGTAAATAGTATACCTCAAGTTTCATCTTGTCAGCACGTTGTATCTTGGGTACTAATTTGACGTTTCGTTTCATCCTTCGCTAGGCTGATATAAGATCAAAGGTGTTCCTTCAAAAGCACCAAAAACTTGAAGAGTAATAACAAGATTGAAATGGGAGTTTTATCTTCTACCTGAGTCAAATTTTCCACAGCATGAAGTAACTTTTCCGCAGCTCTTTCTAATCGTAATAGATTGCACATTGCGCCGTCGTTTTCTTTTTCTTTTCCTTTTTTTGTACATGAGGGTGATTGTCACTTGTCAGGTCAGTGTTGTTTGTAAAATAGACTGCAGGTCACCTTTGAACAATCTGAAATCTGTTCAGCTGTTGATGTCCGCACACTTGTTAGCTAATTTAATCAAAGATTTCAATTTACGACTGCAGAAATATTGCTCTGTTACAATACTAAACAGTGGCTCATAAACCAGCTGGGGGTGTGTATAAACTTGGAAGTCATTTTAATTCTGTGAAACGCAATAGTAAAACCAAATATTATCGTGCTGATGTAGTGCAGGCATCTTAATTCCATAAAGGTAATATGAACCTAGTTGTTCTAAAATAAATGTGAACCTAATTTGTTAAATTAAATATAAAAATAGGTGGTTGATTTACTCTGCCATGTGTCAAATTGTCAATGAGTCTAAAAACGGTCACAAATAGTCACATGGTAAAAGAGCCCTAGCATGGTTATCTTTGGCACATAATTAAGTGCCTTATCCTTGTCGTATCTAATCTAACTAATAGAGACATTATGGCATGTTAAACTTAGAAGAGTCATAAATGCATATCCTTCTAGAGGCTTAGATTAGCTGAATGCTACTATTCACCAAAATTACCCTCTTTATTTACTATCGTGCTGCTATATATACACATGATCAGAGATGACTGCGATGCAGCATCACTCAAAGTCTCAAACCATCTTGCTTCCAACAAATCCAATCAGAAGAGCATTCAGCAGTGGGTTGCAATTAACAGCGAGATGGCTGCCACCTTCTCTTCTGTTATGTGGAAGATCCTTGTCATTGCTGTAGCCATTGCTGCTCTCCTTATCCCTTCAGGTACACATTGCAAGATTTTCTAAGATTAGCATAATGCCCGTGTGTTGCAACATGCTTTTTTCTTCTAATTGTCTAATATATTATCATTTTGTTTATTTTTCTATCATTTTGTAAAGATGAAAATTTTCATAATATTCTATTGTTATATTTTTCTTTCTATAAGATCTATAGCATGTGGGGGCTAAGAGATAAGCAACTCACCGTTCATGGGTCCCGTATGGTAGTTGGGTGGTGGTGGTGGCAGACTCATCACCACCACTACTATCTTTTATATTAGTATAGATATAGATAATATTGTTCCTCTCAAATCACTATTACGATTCTGATTTTTACGGTTCATAATTACTCAGTATCGAAAGAGAACATCGGAGTTTCAAATTATGATTTACTCTGTTTGGATGTGGCTGATTTGTGAACTAAACATTGGCATTTTTCTTTTCTGATGGATGCAGGAGAGGGCAAGTTCGTGTGCCGAGGCAAGTGCGAGGATATACGTGACTGCGACAACTGGTGCAAGACGGCCGGAGGCTACCCACAGGGAGGGCAGTGTGTGCCGCCCCTCTACCAATTCTGCTGCTGCATCGAGTAGCAGTATGGATCTCCATCGTCTTGGCCTACAATGTTGGCTAAATTAAGAGCTTGATTTGACACCAAAATCTGCAAAAAATGAAATGGAAATTAAGTAAGTAGGCCATGATTGAGATTAATTACAAAACGGGAATCAATTTCAGAGAATCGCGAGAATTATTCATGTTTTCCATACGAAGTTTTGTTCCGACCCTAGCTGCATTCGAGGATAAAGATTTGGAACCTTTTGGAAAACGTGGTAGCTCATTATCACATGATTAATTAAGTAGAACTTTTTTTGCAAAAAAAATAACAATTTAATAGTTTGGAAAATATGCATGTAAAAAATGAAAAAGTAGAGTTGAAAAGGTTCGATTTGAACACAGTTTTATCGATTTGAACACAGTTTTATCGTTAAACCTATAGTGGCTTATAAAACGTACCGTTTTTTAGCGGCAAAAGAAAAAAATCTATAAGGAAAAACCTTTTTCATATGTATTCTTAGCATTTAAAAGCTAGTACTGCAAAATGAAAAACATCAAAATCAACTGTATGACTATGGTTTTGAAGTTAAATTTAAGCTACGGCATAAACCGAAGGAGTCTATACGGAAGATGAGAATCAGCAGCTCATTTGCGTCACTGGAAATCCGGATTCTGTCACGTTGATATACTAGTTTTTGGTTCTGATTTGCTTCTGATTCATGACTAATTTACTCTTAAAAAATGAGCAACCTTGTCTCACCATTTAAAAATGCCCACGAGCAAAATTCACGTGGATGACGTGGTTGCCGTTCATGTCAACAGATCTCTCCGAAGATTCAATTACCGAAAATCGCAATATTTTATAACCAAAATTTGGATCCGCTTACACCTCGGATCTGACCTAAAAGCGGTAGCTGCGTCATGTACACATGTGTTGCCTCTATTGGCAGATTTTGATTTTGCCGAATCAAAGTAGACTCACGTTTCATTGGTTTTCTCAACCAGGCCAATCAAAATTCAAACAATAATGAATTCAAAATGTTCAAATCATCTACACTGGACAAGTGGACGCTGGACAGTGACTCATCAATTCATCATTCCCATTTCAGGGTCTATTTATATATGTTTCTCTTTATGCTTCTTTAGGAAATAATTAAAGTTAGTTTATTGGGTAAGTGGCAGAAGAAACCTAGTACTGATTTCTTATTTTTCCCTTTTAATATCTAGAATTGTACTTTTCTGGTGCAAACAACAAAATGGTAAGTGTGCAATACTAAGGGCACAAAAAATATTTAAAAACTTGAATAGGTATTAGAAAACTGTAGGGTAATTGAGAAGCAAGGGAAAAACTTGTGACAATGGGTTGATCATCTTATCATCGTCATTATCACACATAAACCCTCCTATCAAAGAATTGTTCTTATTTTTCACGACGAAAAGACAACCGAAAGAAACGGAAAACGACCACCAATGCCTCCTTTTATGATGACAATGATTTTATACTCTACTGCTGACATAGGCAATTATTTCTCAACAATCACATGAGCAAATTCTACACGTTTAAGAAAATAAGAGAAGTCGATCGGCATGATCATTTTCATGTCTCTATAGGATGCATGAAAAAAAAAGTGGTGAAAGCCCTCTTTCCTAGTACAAAACATGATACAAAACTCGTGCAGAAATTTGATGTTCGAATTAACAGTGTTGTGTTTGACCATCGAGATTATATTTCCATGAAAACCAAGAAAGAGAAAAAAACAAAAAGACTCGTTATTAATAAAAGAGTAAATTTTACGCAATTACAGTTTTTTTTATCAAAATATCATAAAACTATAGATTATATATAAAAATGTATCTTAAAATTACAGATTTAGCATCAAATTTATCATTATCACTAAACTAAATAATTAACATCAATATTACCACAAAATTTTAGCTTCTGTAACTTGAAAAAATAATAGTGCTATAGATCTAAATTTGAAAATATCTATAGTTATATGATAACTTCATCACTAAATATTTAATTTTCTGAAACGATCTAAATCTATAGCTTTGTGATAAATTTAGAGCTAAATCTATAGTTTTATAATATACCCTTTGAAATCTGTAGTTTCATGATAATCTAGTCAGGGAATTTGCTCTTAATAAAAGCTAGCGGATTTTCATATGCGTCTCAATGATGGTCAAAGTATTGTATGACTATCGGCCTAACTACTAGTAGCTCATGCAACATTGAGAGGCATACGATCAGCAACTACCAAGTCAATCTTCTTTTCAAAAAGGAAAAAAAGAATAAAAAATCCTACCAAGTCAATCTTTCGCATTTGATCAACTAGTAGCTGAACCAGAGCCTCCCAAGTCCCAAGTCCTAAGAGCAGGTATAATAGCAGGCTATAAGCCAGTTATAAACATATTTTAAAAAGATAAAGGAAAAGAGAGAAGAGCAGCGGGTTACAGATCTGTAGCCAGCTGCAGCACATGTTTCAAGACATAATGTGTGTATGATAGGTGGGACCAGGTATTAATAGTATAGTAAGCAATTATTGTATGAATTGGCTATTATATTGGCTATAGATGATTTAAAGTTAGTAATGGGCTATACTATTAAAATTGCTCTAATGTCCACCTTCCCTTGTGTACATACTTGTTCGAGAAGTCATGAAACATCCTAGTTATTGTACTGTTCGCACAGACATTCCCTCCCTAAATTGGTCGTAGCCCCTGTACTTGTCATTTGTCAAAAGAATTGAAAATTTTCTCCATCTCTTGAGTCTTGACCGGCTCCATCTTAGGGTTTTTTTGGCACCTATATAATGCAAGATGCATTCCGTTCTCTGAACTTTCTGAGTTACTCCATCCGTTTTTTCTTAATATATGACACCGTTGATTTATTGAGATATGTTTGATCATTTGTCCATCATTTAATTTATTGTGACTTGATTTATCATCAAATGCTCTTTAAGCATAACTTTTTTATATTTGCATTTTTGTAATAACATGAATGATCAAACATTTATAAAAAAATTAATGGCGTTACATATTGAAAAACAGAGATAATATTTAAAAACCGCCCATACGACAAAGAATGGATTGTAAATCTCAATGACAAGTGAGCTCCAACACTAGTATAGGTCAATACATTACACAACCAAAAATCTATGCTCTCTCATAATGTATTTTTTCATTAGCATGAGAAATATTCCTTTACATCCTACCAAGTACCATTATCAATAAAAGGTTAGTAGCATTCCTACATAAGGCAATAGGTTCTGAAATATAGCAGGGTACATTTTTTTAACTATAGACATTCCCTAATAGTTGTAGAATTGTAGTTATATACTCTGGGTATTCCATACTATCAAGTACACACGCAACCCTAGTTGACAACGAAAATACTAAACCATATAGTTCTGTGTCTAAATATGAGCATACTGCCTTGTCTACATGTTTTAATATACTTCCTTTCGAAATCATGTATTGCATGTTTAGATTTACAATACTAGAATATATCATATCTAGTGCTAGATTAACTTATTTTAAGGTAAATGTGGTAGCACCGTGCATGACCTTCTAGAAGGTTTTCAAAGTTTAGAGACGGGTTGAGAACTGAGCTCAGAATATAGATATTGGTTAGGTCGTTACTGCTCCTCGTTGACATGCATAATATAGTATTTGACAAAAAAAAATCATATGCACATCAGCGTCGGCACACGGTTTGAAGGTTTTTTTTTTATGGTTTTGTCATGGCCTATTGCATTTTTATTTTCCTTCTATAGCTCTATGCTATATGCATAAACTAATACAACCTTATATAACAATCTCTGCTTACAAATACTATATAATTGTCACTGCTTACAAATATTTAACGTTTAGAGCAAAATTCGGTCAAACTTTTAAACTTTTATCATCAATTTTATATTAAAGTAAGTTTATGAAATCTAATAAGTTTGTATATTGTGGTATTACTTTTGAAGAAAAAAAATATAGGCATATCGTTTTCTTGTTTCAAAACTAAACATTTAAGAAAATATTTATAGCAAAAGCTTTAAAATTTTAATCAAATATTATCATAAACATTAAATATTTATACAAACTAGTCAACTGCATCCTTGTTTGAATCATCTCAATAAATTCAATGTACGCATCTAATAGAATAAAAGATCTCGAGGGTAGAGGACTAAAAAATAATTTTAGAAGATAGAGACGTGTTATTTATGCATACATGGATGGTTTATACCAAGGAAAATATATAGTTTAAACCATATACACAGTGAAAACTGAAAACTACCGTTGTATTAAAAAATAGACGCATGGTATTTGTCCACATCACCAAGAATTAAAAACAAATCTCAAGCATCTATTTTTTTAATCCAATGATAGTTTTCAAGTATTTACTACATTGCGATTTACACTTACATATTTTCCCGAACAAATGTAGTCTATTTTGGAGATAGAGGGAGTAAAATTAACACTATCTCCGTTTTCTAATAGATGACGCTGTTGACTTTTTTGAACACACATTTGACCATTCGTGTTATTATTAAAAAAATTTATGTAATTACAATTTATTTTGTCGTGAGTTGTTTTATCACTAAAGTACTTTAAGCATGATTTATATCTTATGCAGCTACATAAAATTTCTGAATAAAACGAATGATTAAACATGTATTAAAAAGCCAACGACACCATCTATTAAAAAACAGAGGGAGTAATAAATATAAAGAGCTGATTTGGTTTGAGGCCCTACCAAAATGTTGGTAGTGTCAAGCGTAGATTTATTACTAGCTAGGCAAAAATTGGTTACAATCCAAATACTATCAAAGTACTATTTAAAACTACCGAAATATTAGCTTGGCACAAATTGACACTACTCCAAACATATCAAAAATCACCAAATAGGATGGAAAAAAAGAGAAGGAAAACAAAGAGACCAACCCCACTACCCCTACCTCCGGTCCTTCCCCACACTGTAGTGGCCCTATTCTATAACCCCCACACCCTCGCCCTCCTCCACCCGCGTCGTCTCCTCCCTCCCCAAGTCTCCTCCTCCTCCTCCGACTCCGATCCACCCCCGGGATCCCGCCCATGGAGTGCAACCCCGTCTCCTCCACCACCTCCTCCTCCCTGCTCTGGGACTGGGACGCCACCGCCTCCGCCGAGCCGCCGCCGCCGCCCGGGAAGCGCGGCGGGAGGGATTCGTCGTCGGCGTCGGCGTCGGCGAAGCGTGGGAGGTCGGCGGCAGCAGCGGGGGATGCGGCGGCGGTGGCGGCGGAGGCGCCGCGGTGCCAGGTGGAGGGCTGCGGGCTGGAGCTGGGAGGCTACAAGGAGTACTACCGCAAGCACCGCGTCTGCGAGCCCCACACCAAGTGCCTCCGCGTCGTCGTCGCCGGCCAGGACCGCCGCTTCTGCCAGCAGTGCAGCAGGTCAGCCACTCAGCCCTCCTCCCCTTCCCCTCTCGCTCTCCTCTCCTCCAATACCGCGCTTAAGATTCTGAGAAGCATAGTTGGTGAGAATCTGGAGAAGCTGACTTCTCTTAGGAGACTGGAGAAACTGCGGCCGTCAGGAAGCTCTCTAAACAAGCCCTAAAGTTCTACTAGTAATTGATTCAATCGCCCCGTTAGTGATTCGATTGGGCGAATTCGCGCCCTGTTTGAATTGCTTCGATATGCCTAAGTGCATAGTAGTAATCATTAGTACGACTATTACTATACTACCTGTGCAGTAAAAGATAGGGTATAAATATGTATGTGGCCATTTTGTGCTGGTACAGTGTGAAACTCTGTGCATGACTGATTGGTCACAAGGTTCTCTGCCCCTTGCCTGATTTGGGGAGGTAAGATCCTGTTTCCCCGTCGATAGTACTGTGCTAGAATTTGCCTGTACGCCCTGCATCTGGAAAGCTGCCAAGACAGTGAATTGTCTGTGCAAGGCAAGGCTTCCTGAATTTCTGGTAGGACGGCCTGTGGCTTGCGTGTCTATGTGAATGTGTATTTTCAGCAAAGAGGTGTGTGTTAGTACAATGAGTGATTGCTATGTGTAGATAGTAGTATTTTGCATAGTTGCATTCTTGCATCTGCTTTTGCCAGAAACTCCCTGTGACCAAATTCTGCTTTTAATTGTGGTTATAAACAATAATTCATTACGTTTTGCGGCATGTTTATGTCGTTTTGATGATTTTTTTTGTTCTATCTTGGGATTATCAAGGTTCCACGCGCCTTCGGAGTTTGATCAGGAGAAACGGAGCTGCCGGAGACGACTTTCTGATCATAATGCCCGTCGACGGAAACCACAGACAGATGTGTTTGCTTTTGGCTCTGGAACACTACCGCGATCACTGTTTGGTAATACCCTCGTGACCTATATAAACTACAAAAGTCAATCACAGTGTTGTTTGTAGTTTCTGTCTAGTAATATATTGGAGAAAATTGTTGGTGGTTGGCTGATGTGATGCATATTTAATATCTGAAAAAAAATCAAGATTATATCTCACGATGTCATACACTGTATTTCCCTGAAATAATGCTTAGCTGGATCCTTCACTATTTTCTATGAAAATAATAGCATGTATGGCCATATGGGATAGTAGCCTTAGCCACTACTGTATTATATTAATGCCACTTTAGTTTGGGATTTTGTCAATGCAAAATCTATTGGACGGTATATCAAAACAAAGAGCATGCATTTATTCGTTCTCCTGACATGTTTTCTTTGAGGAATCAAAAAATCATTTACCATTGACCTTAATAATGCTTGGGTAGTTTCCCTCCTTGTCTTTGTAATTTTCTAAAAGTTTCTCTTTCTTAATTTCAAATGTTATTGCAGATGATAGGCAGCAAATAAGTTTCGCATGGGATAATAACGCTCCACTTAACCATGCAAACACCACTTCAAGTTCCTCGTGGACATCTGACTTACAGCTCTCCCAAGTGATGGACATAAGCAAAAGGTCACGAAAAGCTGGGGCAGACAGTGCAAATATCCGTTTGTCAAATGCTTTGCCAACTCTTTGTCATGACACAAATGAGCTCTTGCCAATAAAAGGTATGGCTCCATGATCTTTTTATATCATGAATGGAAAATTAATCTACTCGAATAATTTTACTTATGCTGACAAAGTTAGTTTACTTCACTTAGCATTCATGCCATGTGCAGTGACAGGCTTAAAAGATAGGCTACAATGCTAAATTTGACAGCATAATATGTATCTCTACTACCTTAAAAGCGCAACCATTCTCCTTCTGTCCTCTTCCCACTGTGCGCAGTCGCCTGCTCCTTCATGTGTGCGTAACCACCGTAGCATCCAGTATTTTATCCTTAATCCATCCACCCAGCCAATCGCCCAATCCTCAATTGTATGAGCTTGGTACGTTGCAAAGCACTGGCATATTACTAGTAAAAAGAAGAAATAAAACAGTAAAATCCATATGGCCACTACCCAAAATGGGTTGATACATCAAGTTTGTTGATACTGGCATCTATCCCGAAACGAACTTTAAACATGTGTAGGTACATTGATATTTGAATTTTGAGGTTTATAGTTCAGCATTCTTTCTGTAAACCAAACTCCCAATTTGTTGTTTCACAACATTGCAAGTTTCTTATGCAGTGCCAAAATCTTGGCTGCAGATTTTTTCCCCCCATCTTTGAAGTTAGGAACATTTGAAATGAAAATTTTCCTAGTTACTATGTATATTTGAATATTCACAACCCATGTAGGACTAGCAATCCAGCATTCCAGTTACACTTGTGGCATCATGGCAGATACCTATAGCCTAGGTATCACACCATTGACCACTATGCACGAGTGAACTTATGAGATCCATCCTATTGCTAAATGCTTTCCATCCTCCGAGCCCCTTGATATGCTCAATACAATCAGATACCGTGTCTTGAGAGTAGTATTTTCTCTAGTTTTATTTACTGGCGCTGTATGCTTGATTTTTCATTTCATACGTTTCTGTTATCACTTACCACTATTTTATTTTCTTTCGACTGTCGCTCTAATGCTTTGATGGTCCAATTTTGCAGGTGCAGATGCATCTGAAACTGCTTCAAAACTAGATGGAGCACTAGATGTTCAGCGTGCTCTCTCTCTTCTGTCAGCTAGTTCAAGGGGTTTGACTGACCCCGGACACCAAACATCTTCTATCATCCAATTTACGAATTCGAACCAAAACAGCACATTGCCCAGTGTACCAAGCGAAGGAAACTCTAATGTACCCTTTTGGGTTGATGGACAACATCAAGCAGTAGAGCCTCAGGTGTTTCAGTTCACAATGGACACCGGTAACACTGTGTTTCCGGATCTAGAGCGGATCAAACCTTCCTACGAGTCTTCAATGTTTGGTCTGAACCAGATACATTGAAGCCTGCAATGATCACCAGCACGGTCGCTGCTAGTATGGATGAATAAGCACACGTCCTGGACTATCCAAGATCGTCCAAGACTTGCCCCAATCTGCCGAGTGTCAATGCTATATCCGTGTGTTTATTTACCTTCCCATAATTCAGATAAACCTTGTGAACGCCAACATCTAAGTATCAAGCGTTCACAAAGTGTGCTAGTTTCAACCTTATTTCTGTCAAAATGTAATTGCTGTTGTGCAATTCTTTGTTCTTCGTGTTGTACAAATTATTCATTGTTCTTGGCGTTGTACAATCTACTGCCTAACCATTTGTCAGAATATTAGCTCTTTCGGGAAACAAGACATGATTTTTCCCTGTGCATACTGTTTTTCAGTGTCTAATAGTATAATTTGAAATCTTAACATGTTTAAAGTAATTTTATCCCTCTTTAAAAAAGGGAGAGAGATTTTACCCCGATATGCCGTTGCGCTTGACTTCTGGTCGCCTGGACAGCATATGGTTTCTTTCTGACTGGTGCGGTGTACTATGTGCATCTTACCAGCTTTTTACACGGTGGTTAACGTTATATTTTTTTTATCATTAATTTCTGTCATAATGCATTATCAATTACTACAAAATTAACATCATATATAAATATTTTAAAATACGAATAATGATACTACACACATGCCACCAAAAACATTTTTAATTCATATTAGTTAAAAAAAATATTAATGTAGATTTTATGGAAAATAAAGGTTTCTTATTTTTAGCACAAAATCTTGTCCCAAATGAATCAAAATAAAGCTATTTCTTCACCCATCATCTTCTCTCAACCAATCATAATAATTCTTCATCTACATTCTTTTTGTGAATCAATCATAATATTCCTCCAATATTTTCACCTACTTTTTTAATATCTGTTCCTACAAAAAAAAATGCCAACATTTTGGAACAGAGAAAGTATTTTAGAACGGAGTACTCCAATAAGTGGAAGTTCAACAGACTATAGGTGTTTAGAATTTGGTGACACAAAACCACTTGGAAAATCTGCATAATTTACCTGGATAATCAAAAACCGGAGTGGAACCGGCAGATACATTTTAGATTTGACTTCGACATAGATGATAGGCATAGATAAGTATCATGGATCCATATGGAAAACAACACAAGGAGAATAATATGAAATGGATTTGGAGGCGCAAAGAATGGCAGCATATACAACCGACTCAAATCAACAAGACCAGGAGATGATGACCACAAGTAGGTCGACGCTTCAGACAAAGAACACACAACAGCTGCTGATCAACCAGCAAATACAGCTGCTATTATTTCACAAGATAGCTCATTTCGGAGAATTACATAACACGGCTCTTTGCTAAGATATACAATCATACAAGGTACCATCCATATTTGATAAAGTAGAAATCAGCAATTTTAAACCTTGAAGGCCAGGGATGAGACTTCCATATCGGCACGCAAACGCGACCGATATCATGGTGTCCTCTCTCTTTTCTTTTTTCTTTTCTGTACTCTATCCTGCATTAGTTTCAGTCTGTGGTCATTGGCCCCGCAATACAACAGCGGAAACGTGCCCTGCGGACATTTCTCATAACCTCTATCTCGGCATTCTCAAGCATGACAACGATCTCGGCAAATGATGGGCGAACTTCAGGGTTTGCGTCCCAACAGCAAGTCATGATCTTGCTCAGAGAATCCACACAATCCTGCGGGATTGCAGGACGAGAGCCCCTGTTTACGACAGCAAATGCAGCCTGAACGGCTGTCATGTTTGTGAAGGGGAGCATGCCGGTTATAAGCTCCCACAAGACAATCCCAAAGCTGTAAACATCTACTTTATGATCATAAGGCCTGTGCTGGATCATCTCCCTGCATGATGGCAAGATAAGCATATTTGACAGAGATTTAAAAAGGTAAACAGTAGGCAATGAGCGTGAATGCGTGATTATGACTTACGGTGCCATCCAACGGTAGGTTCCTGTCTCTGGGGTCATTCCCTCAGTTTGTACCTCAATTCGAGCAACTCCAAAGTCAGCTATCTTGATGGATTTGTCTGCTGAAATTAGAAGGTTATCTGATTTTAGATCCCTATGGATAAATCGCAAGGCATGCACATAAGCCATCCCCCGAGCAACATCAAGTGCCTGCTTCACAGCCAGCCCCAGAGGCACAGACTTGTTCTGCCTTCGTGCAAGGAATTGCCGAACAGATCCACCTTTTGCATATTCAGTAATGATACACCAAACAATTGATTTCCGGCACGCCCCAATGAACCTTACAATATTTGGGTGCCTCAACGTAGACAACATCATAACTTCCTGCACAAACTGCTGTTCCATCAATTGAGCTCTCTCTGGGTCATTCTCAGGCTTTTCCAGCAGCTTAATAGCAACGTCTTCTCCATTGTATGTTCCCCGATAAAGCTTCCCAAATGCCCCTTGAGCAAAAGGAGCTCCCATGTCGAGCTTACCCAGATCAATGGTCCACTCCTCGTAATTACTAAGTATCTCCGTCGGATGGCTTGGATCCATCAATACCCGAGCCAATGCATCCTCATTCAGAGTAGGCGCCATAGCCCGGTTCGGATGGATGACGCTATTGTGAACCGAATAACTCGGCGCCGGCATATCACGGAGGCCAGGGTGTTTGAGCATGACCGTGCGGGACTCGTTTGATCCCACGCTGCTGTTATCCACCGACATGGCAACCGAACCACCAACAAAGTTCATCATGTTCAGGTTGTCGGCGTTATCCACGGACATGTGGGAGCTCTCCCCGACCTTGTGGTAGTAGGGCATATTGTGGAAGCCATTCATCTCGTTTTCTTGCCTTCCTCTGCAACCTATACCACCTCCAATTCCAGCACCGCCCAACATATTCTGAAACCTTGACCCCTCAATCATCTTCAAACAACCAACACTAACAGTAGGGTTGCTTTACGAAACAGTAGAATCGCTGAAAAACATCCATTTCTCAGTTTTCTTCAGTGCTCCCACGGTATCTAGAATCAAAACAAAAAACTGATTAGCGCCTAAATACGCATATAGTAAAGTATACCATCAAAATTATGCTAAAACAGGGGCGGATCTAATAAACTGAACCCCCAAACTATTTGGGGAACAACCAAACTACTATTCGTATCAAGTTTCAAGGCAAATTAAGAGAAAAGCTTCCTCCGAGGTCTAGAAGAGAAACAACAAGGGTTCAACGCAAAATTTGGGGAACAAGCAAACTACTATTCGTGTCAAGTTTTCAAGGCAAATTAAGAGAAAAGCTTCCTCCGAGGTCTAGAAGAGGAACAACCAAAGGGTTCAACGCAAAATTGGAGGGAAAAAAAAAGTGAGTGGGTACACAGCGATGAGGAAGAGGATGAATGGATGCTCACCGGGATGCGGCGGAAGCAGCAGGACGAACGGCGGCGGCGCGCCTCGCGGGATCGGCGGCGCAGGCGGCGGGGCGAGCTCACGAGGAGTCGGAGTCGGAGTCGGAGGCGACGACGAGGGGAAGGGGAAATATCGTCGTCTCGTCGAGGCACCGCACAACGATCTCCTTTTTGTTTTCCCTTTTTTTTTCACAACTACGCTAGGAAGGATGCTGATTATGAAACATTGGTACTACTATCTTTTACGGGGAATGCAATTAAAACGTAGAAGCTCATGGCACCTGCAAACTCACTCCCACAATATAAGTTATTTTAACGTGTGTACGCTTCGTACACACGTACATCCATGTCTACGAGTACCTTCGGAAGATTGAGCTGATATATCTTGAGATTAATGAATCATTAAAATTTCATAATTTTAATATAAATTTGTTCTTCTCTATACTGGGGGTAAATATCTCAGTATTCTTTCGCTATTTTATTTTGTTTTGTTCTCATTTTTCTCTATTTTCGACGATGATATTGTTTAACCTTACGTGTTAAACACGGTTAGCAAACTCGAGTGTCCACAATATGTACTACATATTTGTATTTAGTAAAACATAATAATTTATTCTAGATGCCTAACTTGGTATTTGTTCAAATACATCACGGATACGTATACTAACACAACAACATTCATATGAGAATTTGTATTAAAATTCCGCTTGGAATCGACTTAATCTGAGAATTTGTATTGTTTTTGAACTTTTAAATATCTAATTTTAAAGTAGACTATTTTTTAATATGAACTTTTAGTCATACCACCCTATCTAACGTAACTGAAAAATAACCAATGCTAATGTTATCCTACCAAACTCTTAAATAGAAGACGATCCAAGTATTTTTTTACTATTGTAGAAAATCTTTTATATATTTTGTGATGAAGATAGTAAAATATTCCATCATCTCGCATCATGGCTGCATTAGCACTTTATCAGTCAACCCAAAGTCTCGAACCTACTGACCAGAGCACACACATTAGATTCATCAAACCATGTGGTCCAATTCATCCCAATTGATGAGTAGATTAACTAGGGAAATCAAGCAAATTTCGCCGAATTTCTTCTGCCACCACCGTCGTCGTCGTACCGTATCATCATCCATAATTGTTTACGCGTGTTTGGATCCGGACGCGCACGTCGTCGATCGTTTGCCGGCCAGCGATTTTCCCCCGGGTTTGAAGTCAACAAAAGCGATCGGCTGGCGGCTTCCGTTTCGTCAGGTCCTAATCGCAAATCTCTTTCTCCATGACGCCGATTAATAAAGTATATACAACTTCAGATGCAAATTGGAATCTTTGTTCTTGTTTAGTACTCTTTCCGTTTCACAATATAAGTCATTCTAACATTTCCCACATTCATATTGATGTTAATGAATCTAGATAGATATATATGTCTTAGATTCATTAACATCTATATCTATCTAGATTCATTAACATCTATATCTATCTAGATTCATTAACATCAATATGAATATGGGAAATACTAAAATAACTTATATTGTGAAATAGAGGGAGTATTTTTTTAGTGTGACTTTAATTAAAGTGAGCGTGGGACGATTCTGATTCGCATCGGCGAATAATCTGCGTGATTTTATGCAATTATTTGAAACGATTTGAGTTCAAAAAGAAAATCAAATGATTATAGCCCAAAAGAAACAAAGGAATACAGGCTGATGATGAGACTGCGAGAGATCATCAAATCCCACCTATCTAAAGACTAATGGGCCGGAATTCTGGCCTGTTAAATGGGCCTACATGGGCCGCATGATTAATAAGCCCAAATCTTAGGGCCGAAACATAATAGGCCGTACGTATAACGGGCCGTAAGTTAAAACGGCCCGCAGATTAACAGGCCGGATTTTTCCACGTTGACTTGTCGCACGAAAAGGTCATGTCAATGGGCAGCTTAATGAGCTGGCACTTCGAAGCCCCACAAATACTTAGCAGGCCGAAATTTTGTTTGAAGGTTAACAGGCCGAAATTTGACACTCAAATTTTCAGGTTTTTGGAGGAAAACACAAAATAATAATCCCTCCGTTTGTTAATAATTGATAATTTTGACTTTCTCATTAATTATTTTTACATTGTTAGATAAATGTTAATAGATTTCATTGTGTATCATTTCATTAAAAGAAGAGAACACGAAAGGAAAAGTGTCCACCAACCTAATCCAAAACAGGCCAAAGCCTTTACAACACAAGCAAAAACCTCACCTTCAAAGGGCTATCCACTTATCAACAAATAAAACAAGTGATCAAATTTCTAAAGCGAATATTACCTAGTGCTAGTTATTAAGAAACGAAGGGAGCAGTCTTCGACGATGCTTATATGGGTAGAGTTTGTGTGCGTACGTTCATAGAGATAAGTGCACGTGCGCTGTGAGTGTCTGCGTTGTACTATGTAACTCTAAAAAAAAAAAGAAACGAAGGGAGCAGTATTAACTAATCCAAAATTACGCCCTTTTTTGGCACGGCTCTAAGCTGTGAGTTCTAGAGAAAATAGTTTGTAGATTAAACTAAAGTACCACAGTTTAGTACTTTTTATGTAAATTCTAAAACATGAAAAAAAATGCCTCACTCTAATAAGCAGTTCTAACTCAAAAAATCATTTTGGCAGGTGAGGCTGCGACTACCTATAAATTGCGACATTGTTTGTATTGGTTGCAGCGCACCACCAAGCATCCAAACAGACCTAGCAACAAAATCCAAACACAGGATTTTCAAGTCACATGATTTTTTTAAAAAACAGTGGAATTGCGTAGGAATGTATATGCAATACTAAGGATCAAGACATATTTTTTTTCTTTTAGTGAGCTGAACAAAGAAGATGGAGTAGATGTTTTTATTCCTATGGAACCAATACATTTTGAAGATCTAGCACATGATTCCTATAGAAAAAAAAATCATTTAAATCGTATAACCGAACCGAACAAGGCATATATAATAAGAAAAAGGAGCCCGTATGGTTGAACCATTTGGATTCTCTCTGAAGTACTATGGCAGTTGGGGCATGTCTGCTATCCAGTGCTACGTTTTGACAAACACGACGTTGGAACTACACGAGAATTACACGGTACTGGCATTTGCAGGCTGCAGCCGGCGTTGACATGAATAGCCTCCTAAAGTCGCCGGTAAACTAATTACGTACTGTACCAGCAAGCACGACAAGTTGCCAACCGACCACAAAACCGATGAGCAGGAACAAAACAGTGGGACTAGTCCACTCTCTAGCTGGCTAGCACTGTGTATATATACTCCGTATTTGTGTGAAATTGTTGACTTGCATCGTCCATGGCAGGCTAAACATGGTCCTCCACACACACTCCAGTACGCGTAGTTCGGTGTACACAGGTCACGCGTTTACAATGTCATCCACCCGGACAGTCCACGACGAGCTCTACCCGTACAGTTCCATACACCAACCAACAGACGCCTCTACTAATCTGTCCAATAAAAAAGCGAGCCTCACTTTGGTGCTATTTAGTTGTAGAAAATAATCTGAACCGTTGATCTCATTTGATCGAAGGGTTCATGTTGCTTTCTACTGTCATCCTAGTTAGCGGTAGTAGAAATTTAGAGGGGAAAAAATAGGGGTATAGTTGTTATTTAGCAGTGAGCCATTGACTAAAGGCATGTTCAGATTGTATTCAAAATAAACCTTTTTTTTTTCAAAAATCGAGCGTTGTTTCACCAAGTAGATCGAGAATGTTTCACTAAGTAGTTCGAAAATGTTTTAGTCTTTTAAAAAGCTGAAATACAACCAAATCACCTCGTGGAACATTTTGCTACAACGTATGATACAAACGGTTTCCAAAAAATCAGACGTTGTTTCACTCTATATAAAAACAATATTTCAACAAATAGCAAAATACTATTTCAATTCACTGCAACATTTGATCCGTACATAGTGAAACATCACGAGTACACTAGCTGAAACATTTTTGGTGGAACAAAAAATGAAACGGATTCCTTTACTATAGCGTTTCCGTAATATGCAGTTGATTTGTTGCAACAACGTCTGTGATGGTGCACTTGGTGGAGGCGGCGCGCAAGCGTGGGAGGTGCGGGTGCCTGATGCATGCACGCAATTTTCGAAATAAACCTTAACAAATTTTGGCAATGCCAAAATTTTAGGAATTTGGTAATATTGCCACATCTGTTAGCAGCGAAATTTGATAAGCCCCGAAGACATCATCGGACTAGAGTCAGAATTGGCTTCAGAATCCTATAATCGGCCAATCAAAATTATCACATCGCCAATAGTCGGATTCCTGCTATATTCGGTTAAGGAAATTAATCGAATTAAAGGAAGCTTATCCAGAAGTGACCGAGTTCAAGAAGGATACAACATGGCAAGTTATCTATTAATTAGGAATAGTTTGTTAGTTTTCTTTTATCTTTAGGAAAGTGTGTTTAGTGTCCAATAAGGACTTTATGTTTCCGTTTTAACTTTAGAAAAGTTTCTTTCTTGTCCTACAAGGACTAGTATCTATCCATGGGTGTAAATATGTACACCCGAGGCCATTGTAATGAATCTCTAGATCAATACTACTCTCGGTGCATCATCACCCTCTTTCCCGAGGTTTTTACTTATCAACCAGCGGAATTTGGCACCTAACAATATAAAATAACAATATAATCACCATCTTGCATCTATTTATAGCAATTGTACAAGAGCTCCGAACGAAAAAGCCGGCCAACGATATCCATGCAGCACCGTGCATCCATGCATGGTTTTCTTACCCCCCCACCCACCCCCAACCACCATAAATACACACCCAGCTGCAACATGGATCACAAAACACATCGATCCATCTAAAGTTTATATAGTACTACGAGAATATCAATCTATTGCAAAGTATCTAAAGTAAATACACAATTGGTTCCAAACTTTAAATAGAAAAAAAATCTTTACACTACCAACGTGTTAAAAGGAACTAGAAAATATATCATTAGTTCCAAACTATGTATGTAAAGAACTAATAAATCCTTAAGGCCTAAAAAATGTAGTGGTGGTTTATGATCCCTCGTCCATCGTAAGCCCATCCTCACTCCCATGCCCTCTCGAGCGAGTCCTGCACGCATGATGTCCCTTCCACTGCATGAATGGAATGCCCCCGACCCCCACCACCGATCAAAATCAATCAACCATCATTCCCCGGTGCTTGGCCATGGACCTCCTTTCACGTCTAGCTCTCAACCTGCAGGATGTAACGACATGTGCACTTGCCAATAAAAAATTCAACTGAATTTATAGTGTACTCCTTTTTAATGTACAATCTACACCCAGACCTAGAATTGTTGGATTATTTTCATAAGGTCACGTGCTCCTCCCCACATACGCCTCATCGAGTTGTCATCTTGTATTCCTATCAAATGTATTGTATCAACTGCCACCACCGCTCGATATCCAGCTAGCTGACTAGGTGTGCTCTACCAATTTACTTAGCACCAGCCCCATCTCACCATAAATGCTAACCTATGTCCCCTATCGAGCAGACCCGCAACGGGCCAACACATGAGCCCATCCGTCACTGCCACGGTTCCATCAACATCTAGCTGCTGATGGCCCCTCTGCAACATCTACTATGGATGCTACACGGTGGCCCTTTGTGTGCCTGGCCATCACTCCCGACCGTTAGCTCTACCACCCCTCTGTTTTCCACTAGCATCTTCGCCCCTAATATTTTCATGTCTTGGTCCATATCCTCCATAAACGGAACATCACAAATTTTTATTATTTGTAATTTAAAAAAAAAGTACAGAAAACATGGAAATGCATAACTACTTTTTGAGAGGTCTGCATGTCCTGCACCAGCGAAACAATCGGAACTACCAAGTTTGCATCTATTTATAGGAATTGTATTAGACTTGCTCGACGAAAAAGCCGGCCAACGATCTCTATGCTGCATCATGCGTCCATGCCTGGTTTTCTTTGCCCCCTGCCACCATAAATACGCACCCAACTACAACATGGATCACCAAACACCTCGATCCATCCCTCTACCCTTCAAGAAACAAGAAAGATAACACCAACAAACTAGCTAGCTCGCCAATGGCCTCGTTGTCCTCCTTCCGGCTCTCTGTGGCAGTGGCGGCATTGTTGGTCGTCGGCTCGTGCGCCACTGAGGTCACCTTCAAGGTCGGTGAGGGTTCTAGCGGAAAAAGTCTAGAGCTCGTCACCAACGTCGCCATCTCTGAGGTGGAGATCAAGGAGAAGGGCGGCAAGGACTGGGTGGCACTCAAGGAGTCATCGACTAACACCTGGTCGCTCAAGAGTGAGGCGGCGCTCAAGGGCCCCTTCTCCGTTCGCTTCCTTGTCAAGAACGGCGGCTACCGTGTCGTCGACGACGTCATCCCCGAAAGCTTTACGGCCGGCTCTGAATACAAGAGTGGTATCAACGTCTAATTAATAGACATGAGTATTCTTGCATTGGGTTGCATGATAATTATTAACCTCTAAATAATTTTGTCTTGAAAGAGATCATGCTATGCGTGAGCAAGCAAACAATTAATTTCTTGTGGTTATTTTGTTGTAATAAGCCAGTGGCAAAATAAGGCATACATGTGTCCTTCCAAAACATTGTTGTGGAGCTATATGTGAACACGATTTCAAATATATGCTGTTTATAGTGGATGTATGGAAAAATGTTATATTTGGTTAGCTTTCATTAAGACGATTGTGTGTATTTGATTTCTCAAAATTTTAGTACATATATATGTCCAAATCAATGTAGCCCATTTCTCCCTTTTAGCTTGTCATAAATATTGTTTACAGTTGTTTTTTTAAAAATTTTGTGGAACAAATTGTTGAATCGATCACACCGTGACATGAAACTATAAGTATAAAGAATCAGTACATCGTTTAGCTTATTCAGATGCTAAAACAAAATGTAAGTCACATTAACTAATCATATCTTCTGGACCCCCGTTTTTATAACAGGAATCATTCGTGTAAACAGTACCATTTCCCTGGATCAAGTAGTCTGGTACACACGAGTTCATAGCTGAAATACCAAAAGCACATACACGAGAGTCTAGTGCTAATTATTACATCATAAGCCCGCAGGCATTGTCTTAAATCATCGGACCGAGCAGTTCGGAATACATCCAAAATGCAGAAATAGATAAGGCAGCGGAATTCAGGCGCAGCGGCATGCCATTGCCACAGGCAACGACCGTACTAAGACCTACTGAGCGCCATCGTCTTCATCTCCCTCCTGGTAGTAGGCATAGGGATCCTCCAAAGCTTTATCTCCTGCTTCTGATTAATTTTATATTTGCAAGGGTGAGTACCAACCGTACTCAGCAAGCCACCACAACAACAATGCATATGAAAAGGGGTATTTCAAAGGATGGCTATGGCTCTTTTGCGCTAAGCCAGTTTTGTAATTCTTTTCACAAACCTAAGACCTAGCATAGACTGATCAAGTTTTAATACCAGTGTTCACATTAAACAACGACGGTTCTGTCCACCATCCATTGTGATCCCAAGGATAGCTTCCCGCCATTGAGTCGTCATGGTTTTCTGAGGACGTCCACCTTCCCTCCTCTCAGGAAGTGGCTCCATCAGCATAAAAAATCATCATGCAATATCCCATCCCACACAGGTTAAGAATTTAGAGTCTAGCCAAGTGTAATACATGTCCCGGTGCTCAATAACCGCGAGCACGGCTATTCGAATAGATTTGGTTTACTCACACTGCAGTGGATGTACACTTTACCCGCACTCCGCGACTGCCCAACACATGAGCCTCGTCCCAACACATGAGACGCGTCACGGCAAAGCTTTTCGATAACCTCGCATTGGCAGTACCCGCTCCATGAACTTAAATCCTCATGCACTCTAGGCGTCCATGTTTCTAGTAGTGAGAGGAGTTCTGGCGCTCCCAGGAAAGAGAAGTCTCACACACATATTAAATTATGGTTCAAGTTAAGTTCTCTCTCTCACATACTCATGGCAGTCCTACCAATGGCGACACCGATGTAGGGCACGCTTCTCGGCCCTACCTCAACGGCTGTCCCATCGTAGCGCACCTGCCTCACTCAGGGGTGAACCATCTATGCAGGGATACTGCCTCCGCTCGGCTATCTAATCCGCTAGGTCTATACCCATTCGAGAAGTACAGTTGTACGGGGGTCGTTTCATGCTTAACTTCATGGCTCGGTCCTTAATTGACTGGGGACGGTACTAGCCTTTTCCAGATACCACCCAAATCATCCGTCCGCCCCAGTCGAAAACAGTTGTTTTCGCTTTATTTTCCTTTCACAAATCATGTTATCAATTTCATGGCAATGTGGCGCTCATGTCTCCACATACCGCATCTCAATTACCTTCCCAAAGGTAATTGCCCAAGCATTTAGCATTTGATAAATATGAGTATGCATGATCCTAGAATAGCATTTCTAAGCAATTGTCATAATTGACTAGGGACTCATACGTAAACATGGTTACGAAGGAATAAGGGATAAACAATAATCAAGGCATGGCATAATCACAAGTAGGATGTTCATCATTGCATGCAATTTTATTTATAAACAAAATAATTTCGCAATTGGGATCAACATGTTCAAGGAATAGTGATGACTTGCCTTGCTCAAGGTCTTGGGGGTCTTGGCCTTCACTTGGATCCGCAACTCCCTCGGGCTCTATAGTTACGTGCGAAAACTGATTTGGATTCGATTAGAATTCAAATAAAAAATCCAAATAAATCCAAATGGAAGTCGAACGCGAAAGTCGATTCCTTTATTTTAACTTTATTATTCGCGAACTAAGGCAAACCCAATTTCGATTCAAACTATTTTGCGGGTATAAATGTTTTGTTGTCATAAGTTTTTAATTTAATCTACCCGAGCATTATATCCATATAATAGGTTAGAGATTTCTATCGCGAGCTAAATATCGGACGAAATCCTAGAAATATTATATGATTTAATTTAGTCTATGACTAAATGATTAAATATAATATACGGCTAAAATCCCTAGTAAATAAATCCGAATTTCTACCGTGAATCGATTACTTATAGAGATTACCCAAAATAATCTATAATAGTCTATAAGAATTCATCTAATCGTTTAGTTCCTAATTACAGTTAAACTACTACCGCGAATTGATTTCTTGTAGAAATTACCAAGAATAATCTATAATTTATATTAAATTTTGCAATTCTATGACCATAATTAATCTATAATTAAATTCTAATTATTTTAGATTTTCTTAAACTATTAACCTCCTTAATTTCTTCCTAATTTTCTATTTATTTTTCCTTTTCTTTTTCTCCATTCTCTCTTCTCTTTTTCTTTCTTTTTCTTTCTTTTCTCTCTCTCTCTTTTTCTTTCTTTTCTCTCTTTCTCTCTTTTTCTCTCTGCCGGCCTCTCTTTTCCTCTCCCTCTCTCTCTTGGCTCTCTCCCACCAGAGCGGCGGCGGCGGTGGACACGAGGGGGAAGGAGGGCGGCTCACCGGCGGCAGCAGCGGTGACGACGGCGGCAGCGACGGTGGCGCACGGCGGCGCGGGAGCGGCGGCACGGCGGCACGGGAACGGCGCCGCGGCGGCACGGGAACGGCGGCGTGGCAGCACACGGGAACGGCGGCGCGACGGCACGAGAGCGGCGGCGCGGCGGCACGAGAGCGGCGGCGCGGCGGCACGAGAGTGGCGGCGCAGTGGAGAGGGAAGAGGGGAGGAAGGGTGAGATGGGGTGGGGGAAAATGGAGAGAGGGGGGGTATTTGTAGAGAGGGGAGAAGGAGAGGGGGAGGGGCGGCGGCGTAATGGCGACGCGACGGCGGCGCTCGGGGCGGGACGACGGTGACGCGCGGGCGGCGACGCGATGGCGGCGCGGGGCTCGGAGCGGCGATGCGACGGGCGACGGTGCGGGGCTCGAGACGGGCGACGCGACGGGTGGCGTGGGGCTCGATGCGGCGATGGTGACGGCGCGCGGCGATGGGACGGCGACGCGGCGGGTGGCGAGCGAGCGGCGTGACAGGCAGGGCGACGCGACGCGCGCGGCGGCACGGGGCTCAGCGCGATGGAATGGGCGGCGCGGCAGCGACGCAGGGTGACGGCGAGGGGACGGCCGCGCGGCGGGGCGCAGGCGCGAGGGGACGGGCGCGCGGCGGCACAAGGCGCGAGGCCGACGGCGACGCGACGGTGACGGCGCGGCAGCGGCGGCGGCGCGCGCGACGGGCGGGCGACGCGGCACACGCGGCAGGGAAGGGGGCGGGGCCAGGGGGACCACGATCGAACACCTATGCCGCAATGAACAGTAACTTTTCCTATTTATCCCGATTTTAGCCCATTTTCTATTTAAATATAGTCCTATAAATTCTAACTTTTGCATAAATGAAGTTTACTCCATATTTGTGTTATACTAACTAAAAATTCACCCTAATTTAATATCACTCATATTTATTTTATATAATTTATTTGAATTTTTAATTAGGGTTAATTCTCATTCCATCGTACTAAAATTTAATTATTGCTAATATGGTCGCGATAATATTTTATATATTTCCAATCCCACCTAATATTTATTTTAATTTATATTTTAATTATTTATTTAGCCAACTTGATTTTTAGGGTTTATTCCTAGTTAGTTATTCATTATCCGCGATTAATAAATTCCGAGATCAAAATCCAATGAAATAGGCGAATAAAATCGGCATGATGCAATTTATTACTTAAAAAGTTTTTGAAAATCTGTATTTTTGGTGTTTTGATTTCGTTGGTCGAATTTTCAGGGTGTTACATATCTCCAACATGAATAAGTGGTAATGGATAGAATGGAAGCGAAGCCAGCTTTGAGAGGTGCTAAGTTAAGCTTCATTTCATATAGTTGGCCAAGGCCCCAAGCTATAGTCATCAACAAAGTTTATATAATACTACGAGAATACCAACCTATTGCAAAGGATATAAAATAAATACGCAATTAGTTCCAAACTTTAAATAGAAAAAAGAAGCTTACACTGTCAGTGTGTTACAAAGGATCTAGAAAATATACCATTAGTTCCAAACTATAAATGTAAGAAATAATAAATCCTTAAGGCCTAGAAGTATAGCGGTGGTTTACAGTCCCTCGTCCATCTTAAGCTCAACCTGACTCCCATGCCCTCTCGAGCGATTCTCGCACGCATGATGTCCCCTTCCCTGCGCGAATGGAAGCACACCCCTGACCCCCACCACCCGATCAAAATCAATCCACCATCCTTCACCGACGCTTTCTGCGGAGATTATGAGTACCGCATACCCACACGGCTGGGCTATCCGACTGGTTACAGGGGATAGATCATGTATATAGAATATGTAATAAAGTAGGACTCGGTCGCTATGTTGCCTTGTATTCCAAGGCAGGGTATAAAGCCCCAATCGGGTACTACCATGTACTCCCTCTATCCCAAAATATAAGCATTTTTAGCATAGTGACAAGTCAAACATTTTTAACTTTGACCATTAATAACAAAACAATAAAAACGATCAATCATGTAAAGTTGATGTTATTAGATTTATCATTAAACAAACTATCATAATATACAACTCTTTTTATTTAAAACATCTTACTTCTATAGATATTGTTAGTCAAAGTAGCATCTCGAAGACCGTGTCAGGGTCCAAAAATGCTTATATTTTGGGATGGAGGGAGTAATAGATTAGGATACTGATAACGTGTCCGGCTAGGTTTTTCCTTTGTAACCCTGCCCCCCAACCTATATAAGGCGGGCAAGGAGCCCCCTCCAAGGGGCATGGGCAGAGATTCACAATCCGATCGTCAGATCAATACTACAACCCGACGAATTCAAATCCCTAAATAGGAGTAGGGTATTACCTCTCATTGAGAGGGCCTGAACCTTTTTAAATTCTTGTCTCCGCATCCATCCACTTTTAGGTCTCGTGCGCTACCCCCTTTATAATGCCGAATTCTAGTTCTTCCCGTGGACCTTCTTTCATGTGTAGCTCTCACGCTGCATGGACATAACAATATATGCACTTGCTAATTAAAAATCAATTGAATTTAAACTATAGTCTTGTTTTAGAAAAAAAAAAGTTAGAAAAAAAGTATGTTATCTCTCATTTTTCGTCGGTGAGATACTGGTACATAAAAGACTAGTAGCCTACGCAGACAGCAGCAACACCAGCCCTACAAAGTACGAATTGAATCTTTCGGTTCCCGTGAATAAGAATTGTTAAGTAGCATCTACACTAAAACCTGTATCATTGTAGGATTATTCTCATTATGTCCACGTGCTCCTCCCCACCTATGCCTCATCGAGTCGTCATCTTGTATCTCTGTCAAATGTATTACATCGACTGACGCACCGCTCGATATTCAGCTAGGTGTGCTCTACCATATTAATTAGCACCAACCCCATTTCACTATAGACGCTAACCTATGTCCCATGTCACATAGCCGCAACAGGCCATCACGTGAGCCCCTCCATCACTGCCACGGTGGCGTTAACATCGAGTCGTTGATGGCCCCTCTACCACATATACTATGTGTGCCACAGTGTGCCCCTCTGTGCCATACGATTACTCCTGATTGTTAGCTTTACCACCCCTTTGTCTTCCACTAGCATCTTTGATCCTAATTTGTTCATGCGTTGGTTCACATCCTCCATAAACAGAACATGAGAAGGTGATTAATTTGTTGGTTGTAAGTTTTTAAAAAATAGAGAAGAGATAGAACTACATAGGTGCTTTTTGAGAGGTCTACATGCCCTTCGTCAGCGAAACAATCAGAACTATCCAGTTTGCATTTATTTATAGCAATTGTATAAGAGTTCCTCGATAAATAAACTGTTAGTTCCAAAGTTTAAAAGTAAAACAACTAATAAATCTTTAAATTTAAATGTAGTAGTACGTTTTTTTTTTACAAGGCAGACGTGAAATGCTCGATCAAGGTCTCCGATGTAAAATCGGCGGCGCCGGTTCGGCGCTGGGTTGGCGCTTTGGCAGGTGGCGTACGTCGTCGTGCGAGGCAGAACGAGCGCGCGTGGCGAGACGAGGCGAGGAGGAGGGGTCGGCACGCGGGGGACCGGGAGAAGAAGGGCGAGAGACAAACCGCGTGCGCGCGCGCGTGGTGGTGGAGTGGATGGCGACCTCTTTTTTGGGCGTTTTCCGCCCCGAAAATCCTCCGTTCCCGCGTCCTCACCAAAGTACAACTCCAGATTGGTTTCGTATCTATCTACTCTACCACCGCAATTACCAGTATTTTCTAAGATTTCGAGTTATTGCAATGATGATGATGAAGCTGTCACACTTGTAATAACAAGTTGTGTACTCCTGCTGGAGTTAGTGGGCAGAGGATGTGATTGGAAGGCGTACAGAAATGGATTCCGCTAAGCACAAACAAAACCGAGTGGAGAAACGGGGGTGGTGGCGAGCACTTTGACACGGTGGTTGATTGATTCATGCCATGCTGCCGCCCACTCAAAAGCATCCCCTCTCCTCGCTAATGCCATTTCTTAAATCATTCCATGGAACCTTCCAAACCTGGATCTCGCAACTTTGGGCAACCACAAAACAACTCGTTCCCAAAGCATAGCAAATGCAATGCTACTCCCTCCGTTCCATTTGAAGTGCATCTACAAATTTCCGTGTCTAACGTTTAACCATCCATCTTATTTATTTTTTTTATAATTAATATTTTTGTTGCTATTTGATGATAAAACATGAATAATATTTTATGCATAACTTATTATCTTTATTTTTTTAATAATTTTTTAAAATAAGATATACGGTCACTGCATTTAAAATGGTTCGGGGAGTACTAGTAGTACTACAATACAGATGGCTCTGCTCCCATGTGGACGTACGCCTCGCGCCCCCATGTGGTGTCTTGGATTTGGTTCGGATTTAGGCGTACCGAGTCCATGCCAATCACATTGTTTTTCCACGCCAAATTGCGTCTCCCAGAACACCAAACATATGGTGGCCAAGAAAATGATTGATACGCACGGTGGATGGATGGATGGATTGGTGGCGATCGATCGATTGGTTTGATGATGAAAAGAAAAACAAATCCGAGGAGCACCTGGAATCGGGGACATGCGCTGAACCGGGACAAGGAAACAGCCCCTTGTTTTGCGAACTTGTAGTTGTAGAGTTCGTGTGGAGTTGCTGTTTGCTGTTGCCGTGTTGGGGTATTTTTCTGCCGTTTCTTGGAGTCTTTGGGCAGTAGGTTCAACAGCTAAAGGAGACAAACCTCTCTCCGGCCGTGTTGCGAATTCGCAATGCAAAATGCAACCGACGGTCTGGTCTGGTGGTGTTGCTAGTCTTCCATTTCAGGTGCCATTGTCAAAAAACTCAAAAGGGCATCACAGGCACAGCACAGGGATTTCTGTCCCTCGGAAACTCATTGATAAATTTATTACAAAGACCTAGCTTTGTTTTGTTCTTGTGTCTTTTAATCGTGTCAAATGAGGTGTTTAAATCTATGGGTGTAAAGTTTTGACGTGTCACATCGAATATACATACACACATTTGAAGTATTAAATATAGATTAATAAGAAAACAAATTAAGATTCCGTCTGTAAACTGTGAGACGAATTTATTAAGTCTAATTAATCTGTCATCAGCAAATATTTACTGTAGCACTACATTGTCAAATCATTAAGCAATTAGGCTTAAAAGATTCGTCTCGCAATTTACACGTAATCTATGTATTTTTTTAATATTTAATACTCTATATATGTGTCCAAACATTCAATATGACATAATGAAAAATTTTGTCATGGGATCTAAACAAACCCTAATTTTAGCCAGACGTGTCACGTATATGATATTTCCTTGGCTAATTAAATTTAAGCATTTGAAACAATCTGTCAAAAACATAAACATGCGCATATTTGAATCAATCACATAAAGAAAAAAATGAGTAAAATTAAGTGAAAAATATGATGCTATATTTTTACCAAATAAACTCATATGGCCATATATCACTTAATAACCAATTAACCATGATGCCATCAGTCAAAAAAAGAAAAAAAAACCATCCTAACTAAAACCCAAACTAAACCACTGTCACGGCCAAATCCTCTTTTCAACCATGCAGCACATTAATCAAACCCCCATAAACTCCAAGCCTCTCCAATCCAACCATAAAGCAACAAGAGAGAAAAGAAAAAGAAAGGAAAAAAAAAACCAAGCCTCAGCTCAGCTCCCCAGTTGCTTCCCCTGCTGCATTTATTAATCCAAAGCAGCTTCCTTTTACTCTCGCTTCCCTCTGGCACAGCTAATCCAAATCCTCCTCTTTTTCTTGTTTTTTTTTTCTTTCTTCGTCTTCTCCAACGCCCAAAGTAAAACAAAGGAAAAAAGAAAAGCCGCATCCAAGAACGCACCAGAAATTTCGGCGACGGTTGCGCGCGAATCCATCCATCCACCGGCGGTCGGAGGGCGGCGGCGGCGGAGCAATTCCGCCCAACCAAGCGGCGGAGTCGGTGCGGGCGAAATTTCCGGGTTGGTGCGCGGGGCTTGGGTTGGTGGTGGTGGACTGGTGGTGGTGTGTGTTCTTGGGAGTGGATCTGGCAGGAGGCTGGCGATGGGGAGGCGGGAGTAGGGGGAGCGGCGGATTGGAGTGGGAGGCGCGGTGTTGGGGGCTCCCATGGGCGGATGCTTCTCGCTGGAGGAGCACCGGCTCCAGGGCAAGACAGGTTCGTCCGTGTTCTTTCTTGCCTCGAGCTATATATATCTTACTTAGTCTCTGATGTGTGTTTTTGCTTGTAGTAGTAGTAGTAGCTGTGTGCATGTTGCATGGAAGTGAAGTTTTTGTTGTAATTTGGTTGTGAATTTAGTCGTGCGGTTGGGTTTTTGGGCGTATTGGGGGCTATGGATTTTCAGCGTATATTCAGCTTCAGAAGATTTGGTTTTTGAGCGAGAATTGCTGTCTCGTTTATGTCAGAGTTCCGACAGGATCAATTTTGTCTCTGGGGCTATATCATGTAGTAACTCGTGTTGCAAATTCGGGTTTTTTAGGCATCGCGTGGTTGATGTTTGATTCTTCTGTGACTGAGTGTCGAGTGTGAGGAATGCCATTCTCTAAGTGCTAAAAGTTTTATCTTATTGGACATCGTTACATTCAGGCCTCTATCTGTAGCTTAGTTTCTCTTTTTTCTTTGACAAAGACGAAACTTGCATGGTACAAACTTTGCTCTTTGATGGCTGGTAGAGGACACGATATTATGATGTACTGGTATGTTGTCTATGAAATTTGCAGTCACGGTTCCTGAAAAGTCAAACTGCAGCAAGTCAAATTTAGCTCATAACTTGGTTTGAACTACATTGGCAAAGCTGCTAGAAGATTTTAAGTTGGTTGGATGGAAGTATCGAGTAACCCTATAACTTAGATGCAAATGGTCTGTTCTGCATAGAAGATTCTTGTTCAGAGACTGGAAGAGATGACAAATGTTGTCCTGCATATAGGACCATGAGCAGCAAATGCGTGTTTGGAGCTATTCTAGAATTTTATTGAGATACCAAATTAAATTGGGACCTTCCTTTGTCATGTCATGGCCTTTAGCTGCACATTAACCTGCCACTTGAACGTGGAGGATGATCAATGAATACTTTTGTTGCTGTAGAGCTATTGCAAAATGACATTGTAGCTTGACACAATGGAACACATGTTTCTTAAGTTAGAAGATGAACACCATTTTGGGTAGGTTAGTGGTATTTACAAACTAAGATGTTATGCTTATCAGATTATCATTTTGACATAATGCACAACAACATTACAGAGACTGCACAGCAGGAGCTGTATGGGGGGTGTTATATGAATTAAAAAACTAAAGTACTAAGGCAAAATAATCACGCCACATTGTAGCTCTTAATGTTCGTATGTAATTGATTATTCCCTGATGTTTTTTCTTTTCTATTAATTCTATAAGCAGAAGCTGGTGGGCCAGATGGGTTAAGGAAATGCAAATCTGATTCTAAAGCTACAGCAAGTGTCCTTGCCCCTCCAAAAGATGTGGAGGACCTGCAAATCGAAGGATACGGAAATGTTAATATTTTCACATATAATGAACTAAGAGCAGCCACAAAAAACTTCCGGCCTGACCAAATTCTTGGAGAGGGTGGGTTTGGTGTTGTTTACAAAGGTGTAATTGATGAAAATGTTAGAGCGGGCTTTCCATCCACACAAGTTGCTGTGAAAGAATTAAACCCAGAGGGATTTCAGGGTGACAAGGAATGGTTGGTAAGTATCCTTGCTTTATTTCATTTTTTTTGAAACCATGATGAACTATACACAAGTCTATCAGCCTTCATCAGCTAATTAGATTTTACGATTCAATTTAATGATCATAATAGTTGTTTGTTATTGTAGTTTCTATATTACCTGACTTATTTACATTTTATGATTTTAAGCAAGGACATTGAAAGAGTACTTTTATACTGATTAGTGTTTGATTAAACAGCATATATCAGATACTTATAGTTTTATTATTTGTTTCCAGGCAGAAGTCAACTACCTTGGGCAACTTAGCCATCCAAATCTAGTCGAACTGATTGGGTATTGCTGTGAAGGCTCTCATAGACTGCTTGTTTACGAGTACATGGCTTGCGGCAGCCTTGAAAAGCATCTTTTTCGCCGTAAGCTGACCCTTTCCTTCTTGACAGTTATCACTCCCACCTACTGAATGGCCGTTGTCCATGGCAGCAGAACCTGCAACATGTTTATTGTTTTTGCATTTTCAAAAGTAAAAAGGAAAATGGTCAGTTTGGTGCACGCTGCATGAACAAAAACACTAATTTATTTTCAACAAGATGAGCAGATCTATCAGTAGAATTAATATAAATGCATTCACACTTATATTTCTTTCAGTGCTCGATTTACTGGTGCAATTTAATCTAATGAGTAGTGACCACTATATACAATTTAGTTGTATCTGTGTACCCGTTCCCTCCATGTAATTTTCAAAAATAAAGGATTTTCTTTTGAAACGATAATGGTTAGCATATGTTTTGAAGTTCTCCCAAGTCCCAACTAGCTACTCCCTCCGTTTCACAATGTAAGTCATTCTAGCATTTCCCACATTCATATTGATGTTAATGAATCTAGACATGTATATCTATCTAGATTCATTAACATCAATATGTATGTGGGAAATGCTAGAATGACTTACATTGTGAAACGGAGGAAGTATTTAATTTACCGGCCGTATCATCAAGTTGGCCAGTTGATTTTGTCTGAGTTGAACTGTTTAGTTGATTCTACAATCTGCATGCACATGCTAACTACGCTACTAGTGAAAAAAGAAGAAACGATTTTCTTGCTGCATGGCTTGCTCACCTTTGATTGATCTATTGAGAGAACATGTATTTTTCCATGCTAAAGGACACTTTTGTTGATTTATCTTCTTGCTCGTATGATAATTGATAACAGGGGTTTGCCTTAATATGCCATGGTCTACTCGAATGAAGATTGCTCTAGGTGCTGCAAGGGGGCTGGAATATCTTCACGGAGCTGAGAGATCAATTATATATCGAGATTTCAAAACATCAAACATCTTGTTAGATGCGGTTTGTACTTCATCTACTATCTGAATACTTTGATATCATTACCCTTTTTCAATCACTTGTTATAGGAATTCCATCTCATCAGGCTCTAGCAACTTTGTTCTTTCCAACCCAGACAAGATTCCATTTCCTACATTGTTCTGAACTCTTGGAATGACAGAACTAACAGTTAACCGGATAACTTAGCCTACATGCTAGCCATAAGGCCCATAACTGTCTTTACAGAATCCAAGATTCTGAAGTAGTGATAGAATAGTGTGCTTGCCCTCCAAACCGTCATGGTGGTTTCAGTTGCTGCCAGCATGGTCAAAGCTACTAAATCTTCTGATGAATGAATGATTCAATTCTTTCAGCAGTAAGATTCTAAACATCAGCGATCTCAATAACGTACCAGTTTGGATCTGGTCCCGCTTGCTCTTCAACACAGTCCTGTTTACCACTGATATTTCGACTGAAATCTTTTTAATATTCTCAATTTATTAGTGTGACACAGCAAAAAGTATGTAAGGACGATTACAAATGAAACACTTGATCAATCATTTATTTGTCCCTGGTCCTCCTCCATGGTTCCACTTTAAATAGTAGATATTATGTGTGCCCTCATCCATCCAATTAAACCATGCAACTCTGCACAAGGAATACTGATCTAAATATCTTATTTCAGATCTTGGGATGTTATATGTTGACGATTATCTTATGATACTGCCGCAGTCTCACTCTGTGTCACCTCTGCAGGATTATAATGCCAAGCTGTCAGACTTTGGCCTAGCACGAACTGGACCTAGTGGAGACCAAACCCATGTATCAACTCGGGTCATGGGTACTTATGGCTATGCAGCTCCTGAATATGTCATGACAGGTGAGCAATGGAATCTCCCTGTATTTTTAGAATGCCAACCCGTTCATTCTTGAGTGCATTTAATGTTCTTAAGTATGAATATGCATATCATTGTAGCTGACATCATGTATGTTAAATTGTTACTCTAACCAGTTTGATCTGTTACAGGCCATCTGACAGCACGAAGTGATGTCTATGGCTTTGGTGTCGTCCTTCTCGAGATGATCATAGGCAGGAGGGCTGTGGACAAGAGCCGGCCTAGCCGTGAGCACAACCTAGTTGAGTGGGCACGTCCCCTCCTCGTGCACAATCGGAAGCTGTTCAGGATTATCGATCCAAGAATGGAAGGGCAGTACTCCACCAAGGCTGCCATTGAGGTGGCAGGCCTTGCGTACCGATGCTTGAGCCAGAATCCCAAAGGACGACCCACCATGAGCCAGGTTGTTGAGACCTTTGAGGCTGTGCAAAACATGCCTGAATGCCAAGACATACTCTTGCAGAACTGCATGACGGGTGCAGTGACACTCTACGAGGTTGCAAAGGACCCTACGGAGAGCGTCGAGCCGGAGAAGATAAAACAAGAACAACCAGCAGCAAAAACGGTCACCGTGGCACCGGCACCGGTAAATGGAAAACCCGTGCCTCAGAGCAGGAGAACACGGCCAGGGAATGGCCGGAGCAAGAGCGAGCCGTCTTTGGAATGCAAGCTGTACATCCCATCTCCAGACTCTGATGGCCAGCAGCCAGGCCTGGAGGCATTGTCATCCCCTTCCAGAGATGGAAGCATAAAGGATCCACCGGACGAGGATTTGTACAAGATATAAAAGTCACACAGAAGTTTTTTATGACGATTCAAGTTTTCGCTACCGGCGATTTCGCATTGCCATCCATCCATCTTGTTGTCAAGATCGATCAGAGTCAAAGTTGGTGTTAAAATTTTTTCTGATGGCGGAAGAACTCTACCTCGTTAGGTTTCTTGCTGTTCCGACTAGCAATTGTATGTAGAGAGGAGCGTTGTGGAAAGCATTTGTAATGTGAGATGCCTGCCGCGACGAAAAGTTCGTGTTGTAAACTTGAAACCATTCTCTGGGAAGAGGAAGATCCACATCATAATCGATGTGTCAGTGTTGTTGTTGCTCGAGTGTTTTTGACTTTTCTGTATAGATGATGATGTCCTTGCAAACTTGGTACAGTTCTACAGGAAATCAACAAGAAGATGGAAAAATATAAGATGAATCAGTGTCCGTTTGTTGACAGTTTGTTTTTGGAGTATGGTTTTGTTTTCACTGCCCATCTGGAAATTATTAGGAATGTGAGATACAAGAGTATGCTTGAATGACACATCACTATCGAGGATATATCATCTACCACTGAAACAATAAGTAAATGTAAATGCGAGCATCCCCTAGTGAGTTAATTCCACTAAAAAAAGAATCTAACGAATATAACCAGTTGAGGTAGCTCACTTTACATCTATTTATTATATTATAATAAGGATAGTTAAAAAAAAAAATCACTACATTGACGGCCTATAAATTATCACATAGAATAAAATTTTATTACACAAAATATGAAAATAGAAGCTAAGAATTGTATAACTCCAATGCAACTTAAATTCCTTAAATTTTTACTGAGACTATTTGGTAGGGTAATGTTGCTGCGGCGCAGCTGCAGTCACGAAACCTTCATTGTTAGCTTCTAACTGCAACCACACGTAATTAAAGTAAAAAAGAAAACTGAACAAACACTGATTCAAGCCTCTTAGTTTTACGAGTACTACTAAATACACTGTAGGTTAAGACCTAAGAAAAAAATAATTTGAAGTTGTATAAGAACCCAGACTTTCACTTCAATGGGCTGGTTTAGTTTCCAACTTTTTCTTCAAACTTTCAACTTTTCCATCTGTCGGTGATATGGGACCGGGAGTATCATGACCAGAGGCTTGAGGCAGACGCAATCGCCCACGTGGCCTGGCACCTTCGGGGACGTCGGGCCCGAGGGTGAGGTGTCCGCCCTCCTCCTGATTTCCCCCGAGGGGGGGGGGTCGGGTTGCGCTTGCCCCGGCCCCGAGGGCCGAGGCACCCCGACCCCTTAAGGAAGTCTGCGCCACATACATGGGATAAGTGATCACAGCTGTGCTCACCTAACAGCATTTATTGCAGTCTGGTCAAGCGTGTCACGCTGCATGCAACGCAGTACAGCGCGTTTCTTTATCCGGTCTGTGACCAGTCACAGACCGGTCAGATCACGGGTTAGGTGGCGACTGGCGGTCTGACGCACGCCTTGCCCCATCCCGTCAAGACGAAAGCCTCTAGGCACTCGTCTCAAGCTGGAGCTAGCGTGTTATCTCTTAGAGATGGCACGTTAGCCCTGGTCAGATTTATACCAGGCTTCATCCTAACCATTACAGGCAAGGTGTTACACGAAGAAGGGCAAACATGCACGTTGTTAAGCTGACGCGTGGTGGACAAGAATGACCGGTCTGGCACTGGTCGCGTCAGCAACGGGCAGCCACGATCCCACGTTGCGCCTGTCTCCGCCGGGAGTGGAGGTAGGTGTGGGCTGTCCCATCGGAGTGTCATTCGGACAGCAACCATACCAATCTCCGTCCATAAAGAGAAGAAAAGTCCAGTTTGGAAAGGGAAGGGTGCATGTGGTATCCCCTTGAAGTATAAAAGGAGGACCTTGCCCATAGAGAGGGGGGGGATTCTTTTCGAGATTTAGAGCTTAGAACGGGGGATTTTTGGTCCTTTCGGAAGGCTGAGAGGAAAGGAAGTCGATCCTTTGTAACTTGTCCATACACAAATCCACAAAAACACAGGAGTAGGGTATTACGCTTCGCAGCGGCCCGAACCTGTATACATCGTCGTGTCTCGTGTGTCTTGCGGGCAGACGATCTTTCCAGATACAGAGGGAGAGCGAGAGCTTGAGATTTCACCCTAAGCCCCCGGCCGAACCGGCAAAGGGGGGCCTGCGCGGTCTCCCGGTGAGGAGCCACGAGCTCCGTCATCTGGCGCGCCAGGTAGGGGGCTCAGCGTGTGTTTTCTGAGCTCTCAGACTCTTCCGTGTGCGCCAAGTTTTTCTTGTTCAGCCTAATGGCCGAGCAGGGAAAAGCGCACGACCTCTCTCCGAGTGTGAGCGGCGACGACGGGGAGCCGAATCCACGCCGTCGAGCTCGTACTCCCCCACCTCCTCCGCGCCAAAGCCCTAAGCAGGGGGAGGCGCTTGAGAGGGTCGACAAATCCGTGGCATCACCAGTCGCAGGTGATGCAGGAGAACGGCGAGATGGGGAGCGTCGCCTCCTCGTCTACGGCGACGGCAGCACGCCTCAGGGTGCGCTTCAGGCTGCTGGCGCGCTCCTACGACACCCGCCTGTCGTCCATGACCCGGAGTCTCCAGCCCAACGATGGCTGGAAGACGTGGCCAACTTGGTCATGACGGCACAGCAGCGCCTGGGTGCTGGTGGACGGTCCGCCACCACCAAGACCTCCGGCGCCGCTACCACCGGCTCCGTGTCATCAAGGCGGAGGGCGCGGCGAGCGGCGGCGGCTGCACGTCATTCGGCTGCCACTCCCTCGTCGACACCGTCGACTCGGGAGGATCAGCATGGGGAGCCGGATGCCCGCCTCAACATCGAGCGCAGGCGTAATAGCCGGCGTACTCCCCGTGCAACGGAGGGCGCCTCCTCGTCCAGAATGTCACCTCGACACGGACGTGAAGATCAGCCCTCCGTGCCCCCGGCCGGTGGTGTTGGCTGTAGAGCCTTTGTGGCGAGTCTTCGGAATGTCCGTTGGCCCCCAAGGTTCCGGCCCACCATCACCGAGAAGTACGATGGGAGCGTCAACCCCACCGAGTTTCTCCAGGTCTATACGACCGGGATCGAGGCCGCTGGGGGTGACGACAGGGTCATGGCGAACTTCTTTCCCATGGCCCTAAAAGGACAGGCGCGGGGTTGGCTAATGAACCTGCCACCCGCGTCGGTCCACTCCTGGGAAGATTTGTGCCAACAGTTCACCATGAACTTCCAAGGCACATATCCGCGCCCAGGCGAAGAAGCGGACTTGCATGCAGTACAGCGAGGCGATGATGAGTCGCTTCGCTCGTACATTCAGCGGTTTTGCCAAGTCCGCAATACTATACCATGCATCCCTGCACACGCGGTGATCTACGCGTTCAGGGGGGGTGTGCGGCACAACCGCATGCTCGAAAAGATTGCCTCCAAAGAGCCCCAGACTACCGCAGAGCTTTTTCAGCTCGCGGACCGAGTGGCTCGTAAGGAGGAGGCCTGGACCTGGAACCCCTCCGGTTCCGGTGTGGCAGCTTCGGCCGCCCCCGGATCCGCCGCTCAGACAGGGCGGCGTGACAGGAGGAGGAAGAAAAGGTCGGCCCATTCCGGCGACGAGGGGCACGTCCTCGCCGTCGAGGGCGCTCCGCGGGCCACCCGAAAGGGGAGGCCTGCGAGCGACAAAAAGAAAGAGGCTGGTACTCCCAACCGGGAGCGCCCAGCCAGCAAGTGGTGCTCCGTCCACAACACCTCCCTCCACGATCTCGCGGACTGTCGTGCAGTCAAAAATTTGGCTGAGCGAACGAGGAAGTGGGAGGAGGACAGGAGGCAGGAACGCCGTGAGGGCAAGTCCGCGGCAGTTCCCTCCGGTAGACGGCGAAGTGAGGCCAGACAGAAGGCCCCCGCCGTTGACCCCGATGACGGTGATGATGACCTAGGTTTCCAAGAACCTGGGGCCACCATTGCCACTGTCGACGGGGGAGCGTGTGCTCACGTTTCTCGCCGGAGCTTCAAGGCTATGAAGCGAGAGCTTCTAGCCGCGGCCCCTACTCATGAGGCGACGCGTCGGGCGCGGTGGTCGGAGGTGGCCCTCACCTTTGATCAGACCGACCACCCACCGTGCGTTGCCCGGGGAGGGCAGATTGCGATGGTGGTTTCCCCCACTATCTGCAACGTGAAGTTGGGGCGTGTCCTCATAGATGGAGGAGCGGCTCTCAACATCCTTTCCCCCACGGCCTTTGATGCTATCAAGGCCCCGGGGATGGTGCTCCAGCCGTCTCAACCGATCATCGGTGTGACGCCGGGGCACACATGGCCGTTAGGTCACATCGACCTACCGGTCACCTTTGGTGGATCAGCCAACTTCCGCACGGAGCGGGTGAACTTCGATGTGGCGGACCTCAGTCTGCCCTACAACGCGGTCCTGGGGAGACCCGCGTTGGTGAAGTTCATGGCGGCGGTCCACTACGCCTACCTCCAGATGAAGATGCCGGGCCCCGGGGGCCCCATCTCTGTCCGTGGCGACCTTAAAGTCGCGCTCGCTTGCATGGAGCAGCGCGCGGACCACCTCGCTGCTGCGACCAAGCCCGAGGGTGGTGACGAGAGGCTTGGCACCTCCGCCCCCACCGCCCCGAGGCAGCGGATTGCCACATGCGACGAGGTCCCGGTCAAGGAGGTTGCCTTGGGCGACGGCCCATCCAAGACCACACGGATTGGTGGTCTTCTGGATGGCAAATAGGAAGACGCGCTCGTCTCCTTCCTGCGGGCAAACGCTGACGTCTTCGCATGGAGACCAGCGGACATGCCCGGGGTCCCCAGGGAGGTGATTGAGCACCGTCTCGCCGTGCGGCCGGGCGCAAGGCCGGTCCGGCAGAAAGTGCGGCGGCAGGCCCCGGAACGTCAAGCCTTCATCCGCGAGGAGGTGGCGAGACTTCTGGAGGCCGGATTCATCCGTGAAGTCATCCATCCGGAGTGGCTGGCGAACCCGGTGGTCGTTCCCAAGGCGAACGGCAAGCTTCGGATGTGCATCGACTACACCGACCTTAACAAGGCATGTCCTAAGGATCCTTACCCCCTGCCTCGCATAGATCAGATCGTCGACTCCACTGCGGGGTGCGACCTTTTGTGTTTTCTAGATGCATACTCTGGTTACCATCAGATTCGCATGGCTAGGGAGGATGAGGAGAAAACTGCGTTCATTACCCCCGTAGGAACCTATTGTTATACATCAATGCCCTTCGGGTTAAAGAATGCAGGTCCTACTTTTCAACGTACTACTCGAATTTCTTTGGGTAGCCAAATAGGACGTAATGTTGAGGCTTATGTTGATGACTTGGTTGTAAAAACGCGCAACCAAGAAACTTTACTTTCAGATCTAGCGGAAACTTTTGAGAACCTCCGCTCCGCCCGCATAAAGCTGAACCCTGATAAGTGTGTGTTTGGTGTACCTGCGGGCAAGCTTCTCGGGTTC